AGCACGTTTTATAAACTCTTAAGTTATTTTTAGCCTGAAACGTGTCGATGCGTGGTACACCGGCGTTGCTTTATAGTACAACTTACAAATAAACAAAGGAATGTTTGCAGTTATTTTTAATTACCAACGAATATCATAAAAAACCCGCGTATAAGCCATGAGAATGTTGGCGCATTCCATCAACGTGTTTTGCCATCACTGACAAGTGGTTTTAATTTACTCTGTCACTTTTATCTGGAACTAAAGGAAGTGTTTAAGATCTTAGGCATCTTTCGAAACAAATAGAAGGTGTGTTTTGTAAAGAGCGTGGCCATATTGTGCAATATATTGCATTGCAGCACGTTTTACTCTCAAGCAGAGATACAGACACCGATCAAGCTTTCTGATTGGCTTATTATTGTGGAGGGAATTTCGTTCAAAGTTGGCAATACCAACGTGTCAAAGCAAGTCCCGCCGAAATTCTAAAAATATATTTTTAAATTAACAACAAGCTACCTTGCAAAATATCAGCTATGTAGTATAAATATTATTGTATAGAAATCTTCGTTGACGATGTGTACGTTTTGTTTGTAAATTTTGACGGCTGTTGTCATTGTTTAGGTGTCGGTTTGGCGGATAGATCAAAGAAGGTTTCGGTTTTTGCTTCTTTTCGGCGTAGACTGTAAGGAAATCATCGAGTTTGCTGGAAAGTTTTGGAATTCCAGACTTAGCTTTTTAAGAGCTGTCTTCCGTCGCTCGATCACTTCATTATTAAAAGAAAATATGAAATTCTGTGAATGTTATGATCTTGTTTTGAAGATTGTCGGGTTCTTTGCGACTCGTCGATGAAATAAACCACAAAAATCAACAGCTCAATAAGTTATCAGGTAGATACATGAAATTCGTGGAAATGTTGTTATGAATTAATCTATACTTATCGACAGAATAGTAATGAGCGATGTTAAACAGAATGAGTACGTTTGGTATTATCCCATCCTTGAGTTCTTGTTGTAAGGATTTCAATTCTGTCTTGGCTCCGTTTGCAAAAAAAAGTCAGAATCTTCTGTTTTTGCCACAAAACGAAGAGGAAAGAAAGAGAAATTATGGAACTCTGCCAAATGAAGTTTATAAGGAAATTCATCGAATGCCAAGACTTTTCAAAATATACCGAATGCTAAGAGTCATAAATTTTTTTTTGAGAAGACCCACATTTAAACCAGTTTACAGTTGAACTGGGCCATCCTGGTTAAACATTGCAAATAAATAAATGAATAAATAAATTTAATAATTTGCAACTTAATAGAGAATATCGGTACTTTTTTGGCATCTCCGTAACCCGATCACTTCGATATCTCTAAACTGACAATTCCATTTAGCATAATCAACATGAAATTTAAATAGAAAAGTGATGAAATGTAAAACATGTGCAAAAAGGCAGTGATTTTCATAACATTTAAAGCAGAATAAAATGTAAAAACTAAGTGCAGTGGTTTAGCGGTTTTCGCATAAAAATATGATTTTTTTTCTTTATTTTCCCGGATATTTTTGAGGGTGTGGATTGAAGTCATTCAAGGAATTAGTCCTAGTAACAATTATAATAAATGAGAGGTTGAGGTAAGCATTGAAAACATGGCATTCAAATGCTGTTTAAGTCTCTGCCGGGTTTTTCCTTTTACAGTGAGAAGAACTTTGGAAGAATTTTTACCTTGTATTTTGCTCAAGCTAGAAAAAAGGAAAAAAGAAAAACATTAAATCCAGTACAATTTAATCAGTTTAATATAAACCTAGGAATAATCCATTCGAATTTCTTGAATTTAGTTTTTTTTTCAAAGCAGCGTCACCGATTTGATTCAATTTCCTTTTCACCATCCAGAAAAAATCAAGCAAAAATTATTTGTTCATCGCATGCAAAAGAAGCTAAAGATTTAAACCAGATTGCGACTGGGAAAGTTTCCCAAGGACAATATATAATCTGCGTTGTTTGGGCCATTAGCGAATATTGGTTTTTGTGCAAGGAATAAGACTTAAACAGAAATCATACGCTTCCTAGGCACTCAGCTCGTTAATGAACAAATTTTCGAAACAAAAGACGGCAAAAAGCTGTAAAGGTAATCGAGGGTTGAAAGCTGCGACCAGGTAAGCTGTGGTGACGCACTTAATTGCTTTATCAAAACAGGAAATTTGTGGGGAAGTGAGTTAATGATAATGGAGAAGGAACGAGCGGTACGATTGAATACCACAGTTAATGCACTACTTATAACAGTATTAAGAGCACCCGATCGCCTGTTGTATCAACACTTCAGCACTTATTTAATCCTTTACATACTGGGATTTTTGTTGCGAAATATAGTCATAGGTTTTTGCCGCCCAGATACTCGTAAGCGAACATTTGTAACCAGAAATTTAGTTTCAGTCCATTGCAATCAAGTAGCTTTCAATACCGAACAGTTTTTTTTTTTTTTTTTTTTTTTTTAATAATAATGAAGAAAAAATATTTTAAAAATTTAAAAACAGTTAGTTACAAAAGTTAGTTTCTGGAAAAGTTAAAGTGCTGTGTTATTTCGGAGGAGGTTAAGAAAATGTGATCAAACACTAAATTGTTCGTTTGCATGTCGCACTGTTTTAAGACTCGAGCTGGTTTCCGTTTTGGTCGCAACCAAAACGTAAAATAAATATTCCCTTCTCGTTCTAAATGTTTTTAGTATCCCCTACTGCGTTTGATTTTTATCAGAGTGGCTTTTTCCATTGCCCTTTATTTTTATCCATTCAACACATTTAATATTTTTGAGTCTTTACGGATAATTTCACAACAATTCATGAAATAAACTGCATTCCTTGCGGGTCTAAGCGGTGATATAAAGCTCACGAAGGCCATCGAGGTTAACCATATTTAACTGGAATATATTTGCAATCTTGGCACTCTAGATATCTGTTGTAATGAGCTGAAATTTTGCCTTGAATTTTGTTTCATAGATTGGTCTGCTAGACGTTATGAAGAAAAATGGCAACCACAACTGCGTATGAGTAAATAGATATAGTAGATTTTTCAACAAAAGGACACGAAAATGATTATACAGAAAAAATGTATGGTATAATCACAGAATAAAACACGTATATTGTTTTATCTGAGAGTAAATTCGTGAAATAATGCGGAAAATTTTCAGTTTTTTTCGTTAATTTTCCTATGCAAAATCAGTTCAATTTACATTTCTTTGAGACAGTCTATTTTTACATTTTTTGTATTTCTTTAGTTACCATAACTCGTGCTATTCAGATATAATTAAAAAAGCTGTGTCATTTGATTTATAACTCTTATATAGTTAGTTTTTGTCACTTTGAAACAATGGCCTTTATATTGCTGGAATAAAAGAAGGAAATAAAAAGACAATATAACGCGTGCGAAAATGACAGATTTGTTATGTAGCAGCACAATTGGAAAAATTGTAAAATTCACGATGCGCGATAAATCGAAACGAAACGAAACGAAATTTTTTTCGAAAAAAATCACTTTATCGTAGCACTGACATTTTTTTTTAAGTTTACATAGTGGCATAATGGTTTTGGATCTAATTCCGTCTGTCTAACACGTGTAAGTTCCTGAAAAACGTTTTCAAATCTGTTTAACTGAGTAGCGAGCATTTCACAATGAGGTACAAAGTCAGATATATTGTTCGTAGTTAGAAATCTTTTGTTTCCTTTCATAATAATGTACAGATGGAACGATTTCAAGTGGAGACTGGAAATCTTTCCATGGGACCTTCAATTAAAATTTTACACCATTCATTACTCGTATTACAAGTAACACCCAATGCATTGGTTAAACACTGATTTAAGTTCCGGAGTGTTCTCTTGGAGACATTTGGGTAGTCAACTGTTGAAGAAACTATTGTCTTTTTTAAAAGTACGTCAGTAAATACTGTTTTTACTGCTAGATCATTCTTGGTAAGCGACTTAGTCAAAAGCCATTAATGTATTTACATTGGTCAGAACTGAAGCTATATCCCCTCAAAATAAGTAAATCTTATGGGTGATAATTTATTTTTCTGTGTTCACAATCGGTTTTGTCTTGGAGTGATTTCGTTTTCTGTGTGTGTTTTCTGCTAGTCATCCTTAGATTTCGTGTAGAGAAAATCAACCGGAATTTCTATTCTAAACTGCTTTGATGGGAATTAATCATTTTTCTGTTAATCCTTTGTCCGTTTATAAGTATATTAGAACAAATACGCTTCGAGAAAGACGAGAAAGAACAAAAGCGTTTTTAAAAAAAGAATGAATCTGGTGCCTTTCAATTCACGATAATGGCCAGTTTGGGTCAATATTTTACAGTACACATATCTTCAATAAATGATAAAATCGTTGTGTGAGGCCAAACTTGCCAATTACATGTTGTTTAAACTGTTTTGGTTGTTGAAACTTGCTAATAAACAATATCTTACCGTCAATCTGATATATCAAATACAACTAATCCCTGATATTTGAACAACCAATTCGCGCTAAAATTCATTTCTCGTCATGCACTATGAAAATACTTGCTAAATATCGCGTATTGAGTTCTCTTAGAAGCCTATTTCAGCGCAAGATGTTTCCGTTTTTAACTTAAAGTTTCTATTTTGATGTTTTTATAGACTTTTAACTCAAATAATACTCTGGAAGCTATTGAAAGAGAAACAAAATATTTTATATCCAGTTTCACTTCAACACGCATATCAACTGCAGTATTATTAATTTTCACTTATACAACAAAACAACTCTAAGAAATTCACGAAATATTTTCGAATAAAGGCTCAATGCTTCTCCAAAAAATTAAAAAAGGAAGACCTTTGTGTAACGTCCAGGGCAGTTCAGCTTGAAATCAAGATAATTACAGTCCAAAATAGCTTACTTTCTTTTCTGTATCTTTCTGTTTTGCCAGAATTGAGACTTCAAATCCAACGACTTTACAGTTCGCGAAGTGTCCTTGAAATGTGTTTTAAGCAACGATTAATGCGTGAGGAAAACACAAATGAATTGGGAAACCGCAATTAAACATATACTAGTGTTTATTCAACGATAAAGCCATGCACTTTCACAAGTTTTACCGATCTAAACATGCGAGCTCATGACTGGACGATCGTCTACATGCATCCAGTTAAAATAACGCAGTGACTTCCTTCACTTGCATTTGAAAAAATATCAGCCTAAATATTTTAATACGTTCCATTACTTTCGCAGATGAAAATTATAGAAAGTCTCTTTCATTGCTCGGTAAAAAGCATCTACGGAAAATTTAAGTTTCAACAATTCTGCCTTAATTAACGAAATAATTTAGTTCCAAAAATGAAACAACGAATTTTCTTCACGAAAGTATTTAAAGCTTTGCAAATGAGTTGTTAACCAGTTTCTTGCTCTGAATGAGTGAGTTATCAAATCTGTAATCACTAATATATCATTTCCTTTGTGTGTTCCACATTAATTTCCTATCAAGTTCCTTTCCTTCGAAAGAAACTATTTACAAATACTGCAATGAGTTCAGATAAAATCACTTTCCTAAAACAGGAAAAAAATCCCTCAGATTGACATAGTCAAATACTTTGGAATAGAATATTTTACAATCGTTTCATTTTTCCCTCTATTCTTTCTAAACGACGCTAAAATATAATAGATAGACTCAAACTCTGAAATAATCTCTCATGAGTGTTCTTTTTATATAGTTCTTCTAAACACTGTTTTGTTATCGTTAAAAATTCTGATTAAACAGTCAATAATTTCGAGCTATGTGACCGACCATGACAGCTCTACGCCTAATCCAGGCTGTTTTCGTGAGACCAAGAGTTCGTCGTTCGAAGGACTTGTTTCGACTGCAAACTGGCTCTTGAAAGAGTTCAAATGCCTGAATTAACAAGCAAGTCTATAATTGTATGGGAAGATAAGCTTTGTTGGCTCCGATCCGTGGAAGCGTTCAAACACCGGCGAAGGAGAGACATATTCACCTGCATGCGTCGGATAACGCGCGTTGTACACAAGGCTGGGGTCGAAGGGCCGTGGGTACACAGGCACAAGAAATCCTCCCTCGCGTTGTCCTCTATCAGGTGCAAGTAAGCTGGCCATGTCAAATGATTTGCGCTTTTCTTGGCAAAGACTTTCAATCTTCTCTGTAGTGGGTTCTTCCTCTTTCTGTTCGTCGCATTCATTTGTGGAACACTCGACGACCAATTCATCCTGTTCCTCGGTGACTTTTCCCACCTCCTCGCTACTCTCTGCTTTGCAGATAACGACATCTTCTTTGGATTCACTCGATGTTCTACGGCTTTTGTGTGATCTTTTCTGTATTCTTCTCCTCCTGAAGTCACCACGTCTGAAGTCATCATAGTAAACGGAGCTGATCGCCCAGAAATGGCCTTTCCCGTTAGGACTGCGCCCTGCCTTGACAAAGCAGTCGTTTAGAGACAGATTATGACGTATGCTGTTTCGCCAGCCAGTGCCCTTGTTTCTGAAGTAAGGATAATGTGTCAGGATGTAGTTATAAATGTCACTCAGAATAAGTTTCTCTTCGGGCGAGCTTAAGATCGCCTCAGCGATAAGTCCGATGTATGACTGACTGGGCTTTTCTTCGTCAGAACACGACGTGAATCTGAACTGATGAAAGCGTTCCTTCCAAAAGGAAGGGTAGCCTGGACCTCCAAATGCCGAACACATGGGCCAGAGTGGAGGGCTTGAAGGCTTCAAAACATGATCCATAGCTGCTGGACTGAATGCGGGAGAGTACGGTCCCCATACAGACCAAAAATGACGAGAAAATGGCAAGTTTGTGTTGCGATTTCTCCACTGGTATTCTTCTCTGTTCTCATCAGCTTCACCAGTTGGCGACTTGGGATGTGACACGGGCGTGAATGCCGAAGATCCAACTTCGGTTGACGAAATCATGGTACGCTTTCTCTCAAAGGATGTTGCTGGTGTAGAGTTTGTCGAAATTCTGCGGGCACTTTGCCGTTGCTTGCTTTTGTAGTGAAGAGCACGATTGTTATGATGAAATACGATTGGCTCTACGTGTATCAATACACACGCAATAATGGCCCTTGTATTGTGTTATCTGTGGCTTAGTTGAGCTGGCTATATAACGCTCGTTCCATCCGAGACAACCATATCATCACGTAGGCAGTGAGTACAGAGATCACCGCCCTTAAACAACTACATTTTTCCGCGTCCGTGTAAATATTTTGATCAGCGTTGCTCTGTTAAGTCGGCTACCGAAGCGAAGAAGTCGGGGAAGTTAGCGAAACAGCTCTGTAATCAAATTCTCTGGTGATTAAAGGAGTGTTAATTAACATCCACGCCTCTTTTGTTTGCGGTTGCCACTAACAAGGGTTATTCATCACCTCCACTATAATTTCCTGTCAAAACACAGTTATGTTTGTTATTTTTCATGGCGGGTGGCTCAAGGAACCTCCACTTTGTTTAAAGCAGTGTTGTCGATCTGGCAAAGACTTGCAAACTGCAATAATATTCTATCTCTTGGGTGGTCCTTTTTGGAGAAAAATCCTCCAAGAATCTCTCACTGAGTAACCCACTTCTTAACCCCAGCAGAGCCGGCCTTTTTTGGTTGTGACACAAACAAAGCAATTAATGCCCAGTGAAATATTGAACAACAATTTTTTACTTTGTGCCTGCTGAACATTTAGGAGAGCGATGGTTCGGAGCGCCCCAACTAGTAAACGGCATTGTGGTTTTTTTTAACTTGAACGATTCTGCAAACCGCTCAACCCGATCTTAAAAAAAAAAACGCGACTCTTTGAAGGAAGTGCATTGCATTATCTTAAGACGCTCAAGCTTAGCCTTCCTTTGTCGAGGACATTTTTCCGGCTTGTTAAAAAGCCAAGTCTTTTTTCACAGAAGATTCCAGCGATGAATTTTCTGGAGGAAGAAATTCAAAGTCCACCGCTTCAAGCTGATTCATTAAAGCTTCTAAAGCGACTAATCGATATTTCCATACTGTTGTTTCGCGTGTTTTTGATTACACCATTAGTGAAGATATTTAAATAAACTGTGAATACATATTGTCTCCTGTTTAAACCGTGGGATTCACAATGTGATCTCCAATTGGCTTCCATTGTTACCGAGGCTCTAAGATTAACAACCTTTTAACGAGACTGGATTTACAGATATTGGCTCGTTGGCGGTAAAGAAACAAATATTTGCTTGCTGAAACTAAGAGCTCTTTACAAAAACGAAAAAAAAAATGCCCAATAATTGTCAGACTTTCACACGGTACCCATATAACAATGCGGCCAGAACACAAAGGAGCAATAATTGGTCAAACAGGGGGGAGGGGGACAAGTCACTCTAGGGCGTTTTACAGGGTTCTGTCTTTACCAACTTCTACAATAATTTACATATCATAAAAAAACAGCATATTTGCGTTGTAAACTTCTAATGATAAAGCTCTCGCGAAATCGTGAGAAAAAAGCTTCTTAATTCCTTCTTAACAAATACCTTGAATGATACTTCCATGTTGTGTTCAAAAATAACTCACCGGGAATATATCTATAAACCGCAATCATTAGCCTTAGTATAAAATCCTAAATTTAGCCACGAGTCATCTTTGATATTACATTAGTATTTGCGTTTTCAGCTTAAAGAGTTCGCCTCATTCAGAGGGGTCAAACGACTCAGACAAAAAAGACAAATTCGAGTTAATTTTCATTGAGTTGGTCTCATATCGCTCTCGTTCTTGAAGACCAAGAAAAGTTTCCTGGATACGCTCAAATAGAGACTGAGTTTGTTTAGCAATACTGAATTGATGCCGGTCAATGTCTTGGCGAGGAATCACAAAAATGGAATTTTCAAACTGTTCTTGGTAATTTTATCGAAAAACGATTTCCTTGACATAACAGTATAATTTCCGTGGTTGTTTTAAGCCTTAATTGATACAATGTTACGATAATTTTTTATTGCTTTTAGTATTGTATTTGAAAAGCCCCTTCGGGGTAAGTCAATAAAGGATGGATGGATTTTGTGCTGAAGTACTCGAGAATTCTTAGTCATTTCAATAAATGTGTTCGTGTCTTAATATCAAGTTTAAACGCGCTAGAAGTCATTGAGACGTTAAAATCAACCAACGATTTAACTTAGTCTAATATTGCATAAAAACGTCTTCTAATTCAGTTTATTTCAATTGTCTTTGTATCGTTATGGAATTTTAACCATACAATAGAAGGTATTTACGAGCAATTATATCCAGAATTAATTGCAGAAAAGTTGCATCGTAACGCTTGCTAAGGAAGTTTGCATCAAAGTGTTTCAGTAACAGTCCATTTGTAGCTGACTCATTGATCGTTTTTTAAGGAAACGAATTGATTTCAGTGACGTATGTTCTGTTTTAGTTACATATATTGTAAATATCGAGCAATAAAATGACCAAAAACTCCTCAAGCAAACATTAAAGGATTTTTTTCCTTGCGAGGTACGAGTGTCAGTGTTTCAGACTCAAATAAATCAATCACCAATGAAGCCTCTATACGTAAGCCAACTCAACTTACGTGAGTGACAGTTAGATTGACACTCTGATGGAGCAGAGAGCTTTGTATATGGAAGATTGTTCGAATACTCAACTAATGCACAAGGCAAAAGGAGAGAAATAAGTGTTCTTTCGCATATCATTGATACCTGATTTCAGACATTTTCAGTATAAAGTGTTCTCAGATTGTTCACGTTGCGATTTAATCCTCAGTACTAAAGAAAGTTGCTCAGATTAAAAAATGCAAGAGGTTACTGTACTTTTCATATATTTAATACTGAAGTATTAAGCCCTCGGCGTCTCAAGGTGGGGTCTTTACCAAAGTTTTTTTTCTGACAATACACTATACACGAAGAATGATAACTTGAAGTTCGCCATCTTTTACTGTCATCGTGATTTACTTTCAATGCTGCAGAAATTGGTTTAAATTAGGTTATTCCAGAAATGCAGACTTTTACAAGACTCGGCTACCAAAAATAGACTAGCTCTACCAGCTAAAACTCGTTTTTTCATATGTATTCAAAGAACACTTGTACCTACGACAAAAAAAGCCTTTGGAAATCATGTCAGTCATAAGTCGTATGACAGTAATAAGAACGCCCTTCTTTGCTCACCTAAGTTAGATATCATTGGGAATGAAGTGTAAAATGGTTTCTATAAAATTATATCATGTCTGTATTTCATTCTCAATATCGCTCACATGTAGCTATGTCCTTCCGTTTTCACACGCCAAGCACGAAAAGGAATCGAAATTCAAGCTATCTTGACGATTGTTCAACTGAGTTGCATTTATTTTTCTTGCACTCTTAGATTTCTGGGAAAGTTTGTCGGTAATTGCGGAGATTTTGACGAAATTTGTATAGTTTCAGATTATTATAAACTCCAATTACCTCCACGTCTCATTTATAAAACTGCTATGTGTCGGGCTGATTATAGCAAACCCCTCAAGCATAAATCAAAATCCTTTAAAATCTTGGTGCGGTTTTTCCTTTCCGTGTACATAACAAAAGCCACGCTGATCAGGTAAACGAAAACAATGAACTTGGTGTTACTCAAACATTTATATGGACTTGAAATTATTTCCGGTTCAAAGCAAGAACGTGCTCTGAACCTATTGGAAAAAAATATATCATTAACAAGGTAGGCTATCTTACAGTGAACTTCAGACGCGGTCTTAAGCACGCCACCTATATCCTGTGTTTTTCTGTGGTGCAAAGCAGAATACTTGTATAAACAGAATGTTTTTGCAGGTAAAATGTCTCGTTAATATTTGATGTTTGGCACAAACATCATGTGAGGGAAAGTAATTATTCATCGACTTTGTTCTATTTTTCCAATACCTCAATTTCGTTTGTTCTTTGTTCATAATTACCGGTCGCTCATCGATATTAATTTGATATTTGTTTCATATTGCCCGAGCTCTTCACTTGAACTAATATCTACAACCGAAATTAATTTGCTGTATTTCACCAAAAATTCAATCACGTATACTAACATTTTCAAAAATGTTTCAATTTCAAATTACGTGTTACAAATCTTCTTCGTTTCGGAGAAAATGATCCTTGGTACCATTATAAATTTGGCCGTTCCAAAGTGCCGTCCAGAAAAACTAGTAATGGATAAAGATAATTCGAGAACTAATTATCCCGGCCGGTGGTATAATTAAAGTATTGTTAAAATTGCCTGTAAGTATTGCAAAGTATCAAAGAAGACCGACATAAAGTGAATCGTAAAGTTTTTTTGTTGTAAGAAACACAAGGATTCAATTTTACACTCTATAGAGCTGTCTTTGTAACAAGATGGCAATGTGTTCTTAAATTTTAAAATACGAAACGATTAGTTTTGAGTTGCAATTCTAATCTGGTCTAAATTCATCTAGAAGGTGAGCAGAACCCCACTAGAGGTTAGCCGAGGGAAGTTCGGTCATTACTTTTCAGTATTGCGCGACTTCATGCATTCACTGATATTTGTTTCTCTTGAGGATGTAGCATGCATTTTATTTATTTGTATACACATACTTTTATATCACCAAAACATTAGCCGTATTGCATGAAGTGTTAAGTGACGCATTTCTACGGTTCTAAATTTGGTAGAATTTGCCATATTTAGACACCATTACATTGGCAAACATGCAACTGACACTCCTTTTCGAATCAATGGCGGACGAGTAAACAATTCTTACAATTTCTAAGCGACTTTGGACTATACAGATACATAATATGTAATTACAAAGGAACATTCTCGCCTCCTAAACTTTGTTTCTTCTGCCTCAAAATATCGCAAAAAATAATTCTTGTGATATCAAAATGAAGAGTTATGAGTGACGCAAACGTCGATCGGTTCTCTTTTCGAAATATAGGATGCATGTCTTGATTTAGGTCTTCTGCGCAGCGCTCAACTGAAATACTTATTTTTCTACGTCGCAACGAAGTGAATTTACGTTATTTGTATCAGATGCTCTTGAGAGATGTCTGCGATATGAGTAATGCCCTTAAGAATGCCGCAAAATCTTCAAACGAAACTGATAGCAACACGAAAACTGATTGAAAACATTCGCCTATAAATGTTCCAAAAAGAAAAAAAAGAAGAGAAACCAGAAACATCTTGACACAGGGTGGTTTCCGAAAACGCTAATCCTGATGACTCGTTGATGACTTGAGTGGGTTTTCTAGGGTCAGCGATGATTGCGTTACCGAAAGGACAGAATAAATCTTATTCATAGGAATCTGAAGAAGTTGCTCAATTGTTGCTTCATCGGAAACTCATCCTGATGGCAAAAAATTTAAAACTTCCTCCGGAGACGAAATTAAATGAGTTCTTTCTAACTACTGCCATGTATAGTAGAAGCAGAGGCTCTGTTTTATTTCTGGAATTTATGCGCTCTTAGGTTAGTCCAGCAAGAGCCAAATGTTCCAAAAAGGTTAAGCCATCTCCTATGTCCTGTGTATTTCGTATTGATCTTAACGGCGTAATATCTGGCCACGATTTTTTTGTTTGTGTTTTGCACCGAACAAAACGATCGCTAATCGGATAGAAATGAATTAAAAAAACATGGCATGCTGTAATAAAAGAGGTGATAATCAAATAATTGAGGAAGGAGGAGATTCAAACACAACAGCTAACTTGAGAAATTTGCGCTCGTAATCTGAGAATTTCCTCACTGAGTCAGATGGACAAATGTTGGCGTGGTAACTTTACAAGACGATTTTCAACTGCTAAATTTCTGTTCTTGTTACAAATCATGTTTTTTGCAGTTGTTTCTATAATTACTACTATGTCGCAATGTTTTTATGGAGTGTTAGGCAACGAAGGAAAACGATATTGCTACGATCTCAGAGTTAACGATGTGTGAATCCTTTCTATTGTCGGTGGAAATTTCCGATAATCGGTTGGTTTAAAACAATTTTTATTTTGTTTACTGTTGTTAATGCTATAGCAACTGACTCGTGGGTCGCATTCCACATGCAAAATATCAGAGAAGGCGTTCCAAAAAAAACTGACTTGAAAGTTTTTTCTAGAGGACGAAAAAGACACGAAATTGCTTTTAAACTGTGTAGAATCGTTGATTATCTAGGTAAAATTTTATTTTCGTGTTTTACGAGCGAGTTGTAACACGCTCATTGAGGTAAAAGAGTTGTATTGTGTTAACGACATCGGCAATTGATGAGCTTATATTGTACACTTCGGGAGTTTGTCATGAAACAAAATTCGCCGGCTTAGCGTTCCGAATATCATGTTTGCACCCTTGAAATTACAAACAAATTAACAGATTTTTCCCTGCTCCCGTAGTACAATCAGAAACGGGGATGCTGTATCGTTTGTAAAGTTCGACATAAAGCTATAAGCTATCTTATATTAAAAGGAATCCTTTGAGTAGAACAGCTGTGAACCCGTGCGATATCTTCCGGAAAAGAAAATTGGGAAAAGAGTTTGATATTTCTCACAGAGGCTCAGGAAAGGGAAAAAAAGAAGGAAATTGCATAATCCTCACAATTTTTACATACCATTGAGGTTATATCTAAATCGTCCACCGCTAGAAAAAAAGGTGCATTGAGTGCGACTGATGATTCTGTAAATCTCTTTTTGAAAGAACCCAACAAAATTTTACTTTCATCACCGAAAACAATGCCCAATTTCCTAAATTAACAATCTTTTTGTTGCCTTAAATAATAATTCCATTTGCAGTTACATCTTCTTGACAACTAGGCCCTGAAAATTCTTTGCACTCTCATTGATGAAATCACCCCCAATTTAGTGGATACCCTTACCAATGTTAAGAAAATTGATTGAAATCACTCAACTGAACTCCGCCAAAGTAATTTGCTAAGGAAGAATTTTACACCGACTCAAAACACGCAGACACGCCGGGTAACCAAGCGTCATGAAGTGGTTCAAATTGACAGTTTTATAGAACAAAACACCAGCAAAACAAACCTCTCGAAAGAAAGGAGGCTGACAGATGATTCAGCTAGAGTTTTTGTCCGGTATCTACGCTTAGACAAGATCATTGGCTGATAGCCGTGGGAAAGTTTGGATGTTTAACCGCGAATGAACAAGATTGTAAGTTCGGTTTAATAACTTTAGGAAACGGCTTCAGTCAAGGGGAAACTTAAATGAGGTGGGTGCTATTAATATCGCGCCATTTAGCACGGTTGAACACTTGCGCAAGAGATAATTTTACCACCCGTGACAAAAAAAAATAAGACATTTGGTTGAGAACAAGAGGGAAAATTATTAACAATACAGTAAAACTATATTTCTAGTTAAAAGCCAACCCAACACTGCCAGGGCAATTGAAATAGGGATGATTGTAAAGCTCAGGGTTTATATCGTTCCATGATTTTAGTAACAGTGTATAGGTACTTCTGCTTACATTAAAATACTCCGCAATTAACTGCAATTGTCAATACGTGGCCTTGGCCTTGACGCAGCACGCTCAAAAATTTCTCGGCGAAGATTTACTTAGCTTAGTTTGGCGCAACGTTTACGAGCAAAATTCATGAAATGGGAATGGAAGATTTAACATATATACAGTAATGTGCATCTTTAATGACAGTTACTTTTTTGGACTATAACACGATAAAGAGGGTACTGAATATCAACTGAGTAAATCAGAATCAATAAATCAAAATACCTATGTACATGCTATATTAAATTTTTTCTCTAACTCATCAAAATCCTGGAATAGTAAACATTGAATATACATAAAGGTGAATATACAAAGAGGTGCAATAATTAATGTAATTTTTATCATTTCGATTTTTTTGACGAGTACATACAAAACTCAGTGAACTTTATGAGAAACAAGTTATGAGAAAAATTAACCTTTGATATAATTGGCTGAAAAAGAGTAAAGTAGAATCGCGGAGGACTGTGTACTGATCAGCGATTTGCATTAAAACCAGAGGCTCTGGAATTTTCATGGGAGTGTGGGAGAACCCTATTAACTGGGTGGGTGGGGTTGGTGGAGATAAAAGGGGCAAGTTTGGGTCGTCTTGGTACGATTTGGAATATATGTTGACGTAAAAAAAAAAGCATTAGTAAACAAGATTAACAGTTTTTTTAAAAAATAATGTCAACTTTTTTCAAGTCTTCCGCGATCGCAGTTGGTCCAGATGCAATGTTATACTTCACAATTTGTTCCAGCGCCGCAGCACATTTCTCTCGATCTAAGTTTCGCCGCTCGACTTGAGAATACGTCTGCGAGAAGTAAAAATTAGTGCTTCTTTGCACCGAAGCTGAGAGCAGACAATCAAAACACTCTTGCACATCCTTCTTCAGTAACCAATCGTACGAAGAATTAATATCAATCCAGACTTAGTCACCCGAGTTTTCTAGCGCTTCAAACAGTTTGCTTGTTTTTACTATGAATTCTCGTGAACCCCTCGAGATAATCAACTTCACCAAGTGACCTTATGATAACGTTAGATTTGGTCGAAGGCAGTCATCTGTAAAGACCTCCTAACCTCCTGGCATCTAATATTTCCTTTCGACATCGCCCCCTAAATCACACGTTAAGATCACGAGAACAAAAGTGATGATCACCAACTGAAAGAGTAAAAAAAAAATTCTCTTCGTAACCCTCTTAAGAAACGGGTGTAATGGGTGAACTGTCACAATGACTTGGTCAGGAGTCGAACCCAGACTCTTCGCTCTCGAGTCAGGCGCGCCAACCACTATGCTTTCGATCGAAATTAAACCAACAAACGACACCTCACTCTGGCATGGATCATTTAATGATCAGGTGTTATTCAAATTCACCTACAGAGACTACAGACTGTCCTATGTGGACAATTAAATAAAACAACTTGGATCATTGTCAGTATCTGAGCAATTACACACCTACCCCTCCCCAAACCCAACATTAACCCTCACTTATTATCAGTTGACTCTTGTTGTTAGGGGAGGGGTAGGCGCGTAGTTGCTCAGATACTGACATTGATCTCAGTAATTGACAGCGACTGTGATATCACATCAATACAAATTAAATACTGTTAAATATACCCAAAGTACGATAAGGCCTTTCTCTCTTAAGAGACATGATAAAAAAATTAAAAAAAAGAACACTCAAGGTTTAAATAACAGGGGCTTTTCAAATCTTTCAATCCCAAAAGTGACTAGAAAGGAATTTCTCCCAACAATATTCGTTCATTTCACACTGAAAGGTATTGATAAAAAAAATAATGTAAACTAGTGTTTCTTGTTTGATCTGACACCAGACTCTCTATACTAAAACAATAAAGTGTGACAAACAGTGTAGAGAATTGATATGTCGAGCTTAGAAATGAAGGGGTTGAAAAAAATCACCGATGAGGGAACATTTTCAAGAATAGAACACTAGGTAAATACATTAAATCGTATAAAACTAAACAAATCTTACTAAAAAAATTATCAATTTCTTGATTAGAAGCGTTTGAATACCGTATTATTTGAATACCCGTATATTCTCCATTAAGTGTTCCTTTGGAACGAATGAATAAGTTTGAATTATTGCAAGGTCTACAGCCCTCGAAAAATAGGCGAATGGGAAAGTTCTTTCACCACAAGTTGCCCCACCATACCCTGGACATAAGAAATGAAACAATCTTCATTTGTGCCTCTCCATGGAGAGGGAAGGCAATTAATACATAAAGGGGGGGGGAGAGGAAAGGATGACGAAAGTTTTTGAGGAATTTTTGGGATGGAGTCATTTTCAATTTAGTGTCGAAAGTAAATCGATATTACTTTGGTTTTCCTTTACTTCATTCTGTGATTGGTCCACAAAACTCGCACCACTCTCCCAACCAATCAGATGCAAAACTAAAAACAATCGCGACTTTGTCATTCGCGTTTTCGCGCGCTTCAGGCAGTTTGCTTGTTTCAACTTGGAGTCCTCATTGGCTACTGATGACGTCAATCTTTTTTTCTGATTAATAGCTGTGATAACTTTTGTTTTGGTTTTAAAACATTCAATTAAAACTGCTCTAATAACGGAATCGTATTTTGGATAACTCCATTTCTTCAGGTTTGGAGGATATCAAGTATTCGCCTCGAAAAGACTGTTGGAGCTGTATCCGTGTTCGTCTTAAACCCCCCTTCTTGGAATCATCATTACGGTGAGAAATTGTACATCTGAGATTTCTTCCAGAGTCCAGAAAAGTCTGCACGTTGCGAAAAACGACTTAAAAAAATAAAGTTGTAAATATTTGAAATTGTGCGGTCACGGATACAGGTGCAACGGAACTTTTACAGGCAGAACCGATGTGTGAAAAGCCGACTTTAGATTGTTACAGTACAATGAAAGAAAGGATCGACATTTCTCATGTCCTAAAGTCAAAAGCCAAGTGATCGCTATTCTCGAAAACATGCGTGACAAAACTTCTTTGCAGACAGGAAATGGTTCGTCACGCAATACTTCCCAAGAGAGTGGTTGAGTGACGTGGCTAGTCACACGAATGAAGACATCACAATATGAATGCAGTAAGCTCGACTTACAAATGAAATTTACGCCTCAAAGAGGCAATAACGCCCCAAAAATTATCACTTTTTCACGGCGTACGCCATATACCTCGAACGGAATTTTTAAAAACCAATCTACTTGATAAATTATATCAAAATCATGTCCAAATCACTGTGTAGACTTGATATGAGCAATTACGTAAATAAATATTCGCGTCTATCGCACTCACCACAAAATATCTATACCCAAACAATGTGCAATTCTTAAAAAAATAACGCAAAAATACACCTTGTAAACAAGTTATTCCCACACCGACTAGAAAAAGCCCATATTACGCGTACATGCGTATCACTATGCTACTCATCACGTGATAAAAGCAAAGACATACGATTGGCCAAACTGACCACTCTCAATACCACGTGACAACTAAAAAATTAAACATCTCACTCACTTTTCGCAACTTTAAGAGGCAACATTTTGACGAAAAGATTTCAGCGTTCGGCCACGGTCGGTGGAAGGGGAGTACATTGAACAGATTTTTTTCATAAATTAAAACCACTCTCACTTGAATAAATATTTCCATAAATTGGAAAACGCCACAGAAAAGGGCTAACTTCTCCACCGAGATTACAAATTAATTAATAAATTATTAATGTATGAATAGCTACTCTGTTAAAACACGAACTGGTCAAGAAGGTTATTGTTGATCTCACTGCTTTCCACCAATGACATTCCGCTCTTTTAAACACTTCCAGGGAACTGCAAACCGGATCCCAGCTATTCCAGTATTACTCACTTTCAAAGAAAAAGAAATTGTTACATCTGGCTATGCGTGTTATCTTTGGATCTGCAAACGAGGGAAAAACTTTCTAAGGAATTATGGTAAATGTACAGGGAAGGTAAAATGATGATAATCTCACACCAAAGGAAACAGAAAAGTTACAAACAGATTATAAACTCTCAAATGTAAGTACGATTTTTTTTTGACAACTTACGTCAACGCTAGCAATAGATAAATAAATAGACAAACAAACAGACAGACTGTCACGTTGGTTGACACGTAGGCAATTAAAGACACAAACAAGACAAAAAAGACAGACAGACTAATGGTCTGGTGGGCTGGAAAGAGGAGAGCCAAGTAAGCACGCGGAAAGCAAACACACAGACAGACAGACAGACAAACGGAAGACTAACTGACAGACAGACTAACAGACGAAAGGACCAACTGACAGACTGACAGCCAGCCAGACGGCTGGACAGACAGACCAACGGAAAAACAGACCACCGAAAGACAGACCAATTGACAGACAGACCAACTAACAGACGAAAGGACGAGCCAACAGGTTGTAGCCAAACAGCCAGACAGATGGAAAGACGATCGAGCAAACAGAAAGATATCGATACAAAGGAACTTAACAACGTCACACAGATCTCCAGTCGAAAGATCAACTAATAAAAACAGCATCATTACCTGTTGGATACTTTTTGCATGTAGCGAGCCTCTTGTCGTTTGTTTATTCTCTCTTCTCGTCGCCTCTGTGACGAACGTCTTCTTTCCCGATAACTTCTGAAAGTATTCTGTATAATGGCGGCTGCCCGTCGACTCTTCTTGAACCTTTCGTGTTCACGGTATGTACGGTACTGGCTCTGAATTATCCGAGCTGCGCGGGTCATTTTTTTGAACGCGATAAACTATTTTGCAAAAGGATAAAAGAGTGCGCTTAGTTGTCAACTGTGAACTAAGTTCACAATATCAGCGTATTTCATTGTTGTATTGTGGTTTCTTTGGGAGGCTCAACGTCTTACCCAGCAAAATTAGAGGGATCGAAAAGGGTCAGATCGTCCGACGCAAGTTGATTTCCCAGTCGACCAAAATAGTTCTCTTGCTACGCTTACGCACTGGTAAAGCACCAGAGGAACCACAATCCAATCCTAGGTAAACTGGTTTTCAGAATTTTCCTAGCTCTCCAGAAATCGCCATGACTTGGCTGCTAAAATTATTTTTTCCCACGCTTCTCAGCAGATAATTGTTTTGCTTTGCGTTTCTTGGGCTAACAAGGTTTTCCCGCGCTTGAGTGGTCAGTGGGTGCTGCCGGCTAGATCAGGTCAGTAAGTTTCATTTTTCTCCCGCCCTTGAAACCAGTTATGTAATCACCCTTCAACTACTCCCCCTTCGTCACAATTGACAAGGCAAGAGCACAGTCAAGCGCTCAATACGAAGAAGCCGTGCGCACTTAGGCCGAGAGTCAGCGGTTGGCGAATTTTTGACAAAAGTTGGGTAGCTTACCTCTTTATATCTACGATAATGGTGCTGAATCAGTATGGCAGCTTCTATTTCCTGCTCCTGTTGGTGGCGCCTTGTCTACAAAAAATCGACGTAAAAATCAGAGCTGTAAGGTTAATATGGAAAGCTAAGAGAACTAACCCAACCTTGTAATTTCTGTAGGCATTCTGGATGATCTTGGCTGCTTCGTAGAGTTCCCACTGCTCACGATCTGAAAGGACAATTGAAATTCACGTTGCGAAATTACTTTCATCGACAAAACTCGAAATTAACTTTATTTAACCAATAGGAGACTCAACCATCATAGGGCATGAACGAACAATTGAATTTCAAGCGCCACAATTTTCTAAAATTTATTCAAGTGAGGGTGTGATTTGCTGACGACTTTTCTTTTTCTTTGACGCGACGAAACCCAACAGATTTCCTACCTGTTAACGTGAGATCCGAAAAATCTCTTTCCAACAGCTTACGAGAACTTGAAATGAACTCCTGAAATTCAGTCGTGTCTGGTCCAGAAGGAGAGGAATGGGGCGAGTTAAGAAAGACGGGAGAACCTGGGGAGAGGGAAGACTTGGAAGAGCATGGCGTCAAAGGGGAAGATTGGGAAGAGGCCGAGCTGAAGGTGCGCAGCCTGGCTGCCGGTCCCCAAGTCCCGGATGTAATGAGTTCTGAGTTTTCGTGTAACGGAGATAAATGAGCGGATATCCGGTGATTTAGCTCTGCCTCCTGTTCTGCCTCGTTTATCATCGAACGTATATGCACCAATGTTTTTGCCAGAGTCTTAGCTGGTTTTCTACTTAATTGAGGCTCCAATTTGTTTTCATCAACGACCATTGGCGAGTTTGCTCGGTCAACCATGTCAGCATCCACAGGAACTGGTAACAACGAGCAAGAATTAGGGGCCGGGACAGGAGTCAGTAGAGAGTCACACGATGAGGCCATTGGCGATGGGGTTCCGTCAGAATCACGGTCCATTCCGAGAACTGAACGACTGTAACGGAAAGGGATAAAAAATACAAGATTAGCCCAAAGAAAGAAATAAAGAAAGAAATAAAAAAGCGAACCATTTTGAAAAGCAGGAAAGACCAGCAAACTGAGCTCATCTAAACAGAAGGAAAAAAAATATTACAGCCAGTAAACCCACCTGAATGGAGAGGACATCACATAGTCTTCAATCAGATCAACCACGTCTAAGAAGCCTCTATCCCTAGCTAGCTGCAAAGGCATACGACCTCGAGCATCAGGCTCTAATAAAGCCTTCGGTTCGGCCTCTAACAGCGGGTGGGCAGTGTCTGTCTGACCAAGAGCGCATGCCCAAGTCAGCGGAGTGCAAGCAAATTCGTCCTTCCTGAGCGGGTTCATTTCCTCTCTGACAAGCTGGCTTTCACTCTCACGCCATAACTTCAACAGTGTGCATATCAGCCGGTTAAAACCCAGCGCAGCGGATAAGTGTAGAAGAGTCATTCCTCTGAATGGCTTATCCCCCTTTGTTGGGGCGTTTATAGCAGAGCTTATGGTTCGGTGGAAAAATTCACAAGCGACGATGAGTCGGTCTTCAAAAGTGGCGCATTGTTTTCCGTGTTGTGTGTCGTTTGCGGAATTGCTCGTCGGGTTCGAGTGGAATCTGGATTCTAATCTCTCAAGGCGGTCAAGTATAGCCAGCTTAAACCGGTCATTATCAGTGGCGAGCCACTCGTGACAGCTAGCTCCCACCACGGGTGAGTCACGCGCACGATACTCAAACACACAAGCGTTGCTGACGATAAAACCATTGCAAGCGACTTGCAAGGTGACCAGGCCTGGGTCGTGAGGAGGACAGAAGCATCGCAAAACACCAGACTGGTATAAAATCGCGGGCACGCTACAACCATCGAACAAGCAAGTGTACGAACCTTGCTCCATCCTCCACTCGCCAGTGATAAGTACTTTAGCCCCACCCTCGGGGTAAGACCATTCGGGGGAGAAATCGGTAATTCGCGCCGAGACTGGAACGACCCGATTCCCTACAGGCGTGGAGAAATTGTCAGCTGTGTTACCCGCGGGGAGTGCGCGCGAGGAATTATTATTTAAGTCACTTGTGGCTGGAGTGCTAGTTTGCTGAGCAAAACCATGAACAGGAGAAGGAATCAGGCAAACCTCATTTGCCGTTGGTTGAGCAACAGTACGATTAATGGAATCATCTGCCATGTTTACTTCACTACAAACTTGAATGCCATTGTGAGAGGTCTGAGTGCTTGCTTCACTTACAACTGCCCCGGATGATGATTCAAGCGTGTTCTCATTGACGTTAACGAAACATGACGTCACCACCGTGGATCGCACTGGACTAACAGGCTTCACAAATACATAAGACGTAGTAGATGACAGACCGGAAGTTGTCATTTGAGAGAAACAAGAGGTTTGTTCTTGGCTAGCGGAAGAGTATGGACTGGAAGAGAGCTGCGATGTAGTACAAGTACTAGAGGCATAACTCGACTTCGGGCTCCCAATGGAAGCTGTCAGACCATCACTACTTTGCTTGGGTGACGACGCGCTCATGCAGTCCGGAAAACAATCTGGAATCACATTGCTAAGATCACAGTCAAACATGTCGTCGAACGCAAGTGATTCCAAAGGCGACAAATTTGTCATGTCCACGGATACATCATTTCCACCAGATTGTGGCCCCCCCGGAAACGGTTCCTGGCCCTGTGGGGGTGCCCCTTCGTCACTTTTTGCTGAATCAGTCAAATGCTGTCGGGACTCTCGTTCCACAGGGAGTGGAACACGAAAAGGGCCGTCGAACAGCGCATGCCCGGAATCTTGAATATTTTGCCCTGGAAGACCAGCACTCATGGAATCTGACCCAGAGAAACTGAGCCGGGCGCCAGCATCAGACATATAGCTGCCATAGTCGCTAGAGGGACTTGAACCTAACTCTGCAACGCGAGGATTCAAAACGATCGAATTCCACTGGATGCCAGCGCTGTGATTCGTCTCTCCTGAGAGCGGACTGATAGGGATCGCATTCGACATGTGATTTTCTGGAAGAAATTGGCAAGTTGATGTGGTCGGAACATTCGTTGCCCCACATCCTTTGTCTCCAAGAGAGTTTTGTACCTGGTACGATAATGTGGACATCGAAGGATGCGTTACCATGGGCACTACCGAAAGTATAGAAATGTCTCTTAAAGGCTGGTGCTGCGAAAAGCTTGAAGGACTGGTGACGAACACGTGACCATTACTTGGGGTGACGGCTGCCTGGCACGTAACGTCATCAACTGTGCCCGAATCATTCCCTTCATGGGACGTATTCTCTTCCAAAGATGGCGAACCCTCTCTGTGTCCTGTCACGGTCAAACGACCTTGGTTATTCTTAGTCACTTTGATCACTTTTATGTTCAGTTTTTCAGCCCGAGCTTTGGCTTGAAAACTCTTGTTTGGAGAAAAGGAGATTTTGTAAATCGCCTTGTTCCGTTTCCGCTGTCGTTTGCCTTTGGAAGACGAGTTCTCGCCTTCTTCTGAAGATGACGGTGATCCGGGGGGACTTTCCTCTGTTACCTAAAATCCAAAAGAATTTTAGAATATTTTGAATTATAACTGATTCAAGTCTTAGGAGAGTTTCACCAGTAGAAAAAAAATGTTGCGCTTTCATCCAAGCCAAGTGGCCAATCCCCCAGCCTGAGCTTAACTACAGCTGTTCAGTAAGAGTATTGCTACCCCACTCCCCTCCTGGACGGGATTTTAATTCATGGCACTCCAACCCTCAGTATTTTGAAAAATTTTCCAGACAGTTCTCTAATACCTGTTGTCTATTGGTATAGTTCCTGGGAGGGGAGCAACTGTAAATTAAAACACTTTGCACAAGCATTCAATACAGAAACCTAGCCATGTCTCGAATCAGGGCCTCTCGACCGCAAGTCCAGCACACTAAAACTTAGGCCACCGCCGCTTCCATAAATTTTAATCAATGTGTCGCGCTGAAAACCGTTTTCCTTTACTGACCGTAACCTCAGGCTTTACATCCGACGAAACTCCCGAATCTGGAAGACAACAAAGAAATTGTCATGTTAAGCATGTTTTGGCCGTGAACTCAAAACAATAATCCTTGTTGCTTTAGAATACTGGAGCGGACGAAGAGATGCTCTTTTTTTTTGACCAGTATGCTTCCCAAGAAGATAGAAGTGTGTATGAATACATGTCATAAAATCTTTTTAAAAGTTTCATGGAGGTTATAAACATGGCATTCAGCAGAATCCCCATTTATTTCGCAGTGTTTTTGCTTGTTACATCAATTCAAGATGTAGCGAGGATGACATACACTGGATGTAAATTTTGGAATGCAAAACCGTCTTCCCAACATTACATCTTCTAACCCTTCACTCCTAACATCAGGATGTGAATTCTCCACACCGTTCTCTATACATTTCTTAAGGTGCTGACATGGAGAATTTGTCTAATAATAAAGAGCTTCTTCAGTTGGTGATCATTTCCTTTATTCTCATGACCTTGATGTGTGATTCTGGGGTGATATTGTACGGAGAAATTAGATGCTGATCACTCTTAGGGGTCAAAGGGTTCAGGAACACCCTCACTACTTACAGATGGCTTCCAGCTGTTGTGAGATGTCATCACGGCTGTCAGGCGATGAGTACACAGAAACTGTGATGGGTTTGTTGCATTCTTCCACCAAATTCAAGTAATGAACCAGTACTATTTTTGGATTCTGAATGAAATTTAATTGAATTTTAGCAGTGATACATAAACCACTTCTTTGCCTGAATCTAAAACCTAAATCCCCTCTCTAATTTCCATCTACTTTCAAACATAATAGCTAAGAAAATATGTCAGACACAGTTTGATGCTACTCTGGTTTACAGATTTAATGAATGTAACCGAAGAAGTTACAATTCATAGACCCAACGTTTCGACACTCCTGTCTAGTGCCTTCATCAGGGATGATCTAAACGCTGCAACAAGAGGTCCTTTTATATGATCACTAATTAGCGGCCTTTTTTTTTTTTCTGACAAGGTGTAAATAGGCGTCAGGAAGCAAACCGCCATCGTCACGATTTAAAGGAGCAATACATTGTGGGTCGGAAAAATGTTTAATATGCCAATAAGAATACCTCCAATGTTATTTTTGGGGGTCGGGGAGGGGGAAGGGAGAGGGGGAAGGGAGAGGGGGAGGGGGAAGGTGAAAACAATGAGGGTGCTGTGGTGATAGGCTTTACCCTCCCTTCCTCCCTCTCCCCACCCCCCAGGTTGTATTCTTTACCTGACACCTTACAGCTGTAATTGTGATTGAGGCAGAAAACAGCGGATAAGAAACATGATAAAGGGCCTCATTGTCAGGGTTGTAAAAATATATGTAACCCTTCCAACCCAAAGGCATGGCGCATAGAGTACCTGCAGCATCCAGTAGCAGCGACGATGAAATGTTGGTACCAAGGCAGAATGGGTGTATAGTACACTCAAACACTGCGAGGTAAAATATGCAAATTGCTTAAATACTCCATCTTTTATTGCTAAACAATAAGTTAAAGGTCACAGTTAAGGTCTTTCCTGTGTAATGGTCCAGTACAAGTGAAGTTTACCACAGTTTGCAAGGTACAAAGAGAGGATATTATTTATAGCAAGTAAACCCCAGTTATTTCAGGAAACTTCCCTAAAAGTTGGTTGTAACAGATTTTACTTCTTGCTTGAGAGGGAAACTGTTGAGTAGCATGTCTAGCTCAAGAACATAACACACTGACCTTTCAATGACTTAACCAATGACTCCTCAATCTAAAGCAAATTAGCCACTTAACTACCATCTCTCTTGCTAAAAAGGGGTTTTAGAGCAATTTTTGACCGAACAGTTAAAGTGATCTAGGATTTCTTTATTTCTGCTTTAGTTTGCTATGTCATTGGTCCAGAGGATTTGAGCCATCCTCTCAGCCAATCAGATGCAAAACTTGTGAGAGATTTTTGGCGTGTTTTACTGTATGTACATTTTTTGGTTAACGTCTATCTGAGCAGTACTGGAAAACCCAATGTGTGTTAGTCACCCAAGTTTTCCAGCATTATGGGTTCTCGTTGGCTCTTAAAAATATTTCCTCTCACTCACACTGGCCATTGTGATTTGTTTGGTTTTGGTTTCACAACTCTCAGTTCAGAAGCACCTAAGTACATTCTTTCAACCCTTTACACCCTTACATCAGTATACATTTTCTCCATTCTGTTCTCTGCTGATCATTTCCTTTCTTCTCATGACTTAAATGTTTATTTTAGGGTTGATACTTATAGGAGAAAATAGTTAATAATCACTCTTAGGGGTTTAGGGGTTCACCTCACTACAATGAATACCATTCATTTGCGGTGACAAAGTTACCTCAATTCCGTCGACCTTTAGTTTTGTGTGATCCTCCCTTATTGTATTTCCTGATCTTCTCTTTTTCCATGTATAACCATCCTTGCGATAATTCTTAACCTAGACAATACATCAAAAGATTAGTGACCAAGAAAAAAAACATCAGGCAGAGGAATCATAACAACATTCAGCTTTGTGCTATTTGAAACCTTTGTTACAAGCATCTTGGTAAAACTCATTCACCATTCTGACCTTTACCTACACCTGAGTCTATTAAGATCAAAAATACAGAAAATAAAAAGTTGGACAACCCTATCAGTAAGAGCCAGTGGCCAAAAAATAAAAATAAAGCAAAAACAGCTAACTAGTCAACCATTTTTAGGCCAATACTTTCCCTTGATTTCACTCTAAGGGCTGTTAGAAAATAGAAAAAAATTACTGGTATTCAAAAGGCATTTAGGAGAAATTGGTACAGTAGCCATTTCCCAGTTTTCAGTGGAACTGAGAGCATAATTTATTTGGAAGAGATCAAGATAGGTGAAATGATTCCCCATTCAGAATATGCTTTAAGGGACAACTCCAGGTTTCCCATCTTCTGTTCATTTTCTTTATTTTTATTGTCTCTTGTGACAAAGAGATTGAGCTACAGCCAGTGCCACACAATGATAAGGTTAAATTTGGTGCAGAAAAAAATTTTAATCTTTAATAATGGTATATTTTAAGGTAAGCGCGTATTTAATTTAACTACTAATGAAAAAGTGCTCTGCTTTACCTTGCTTCGATCAAAGAGAAACATGGATCCATTTTCAGGCCTGTTAGGAAAAAAATATTATTTTCCCTTAATTATTCGAGTAAAATTTAAAACACTACATTACACATTTATACTCAATAATTTCCCTTAGGTGCAAAAATACATGTGGATAATTTTCTTCAGACACAATGGATAGTCCCAGAAGCTCATAGTTTTCCTAAAGCAAAGCCTGTGAAAACTGTACACTTGGATGAACAGATAACATCAAAGCAAACATTAAGCAGTCATCCACTAGGCAGAAAAAAATGTTTTCCTTCAGGGCCTGCCAGATGAATCATGCTGTTTAGACCCGTATCTTTTGGTGTGCAATTAAATCATGTGTACATATGAAAATTAATTGCTTGTACAAAGTGGTCTAAAAACCAGTGTTTAGTTCCATACAATATTAATATGGAATCTCAATAACCCCGTAACTCCCATGAGTGACCAAGACAGAATGTCTCCTTACAATATCAATACAATATCAACCAGATAAGTGATGAGAATAAAGAAAAATATCAATTTGGGAATAATTATTTGATCCAGTAAATTCTCTGAACTAGCATTATAAGAATTGTATGGTTGACAGTAAGGAGAATTACATATTTGATCTGGGAGTTAAAGGGTTAAACATCCAAACAGTCCAACAAAACAACAAACAGTTCCTGATTAGGTCAGAAAAGATATGTTCTAACAGGTGACCTCAGTCTATGGAGTTGACCCATGCAAATAGAGATTATTTCATGGACAGGGCCAATAAAAAAAATTTTCATTCACAAGTTGTGATGCATAACAGAAATAAACAAGTGAGCACAGCAAATGAGTGAGAATTTTGCATGCATTGCATCAAGAGAATAACCTTTGTTCAAGTAGTTTCCATGGTATGACGTTTTTATTTCATACACACTGAAATTTTGTCTCACTGACCAACATTTTCAAAGATTGGAAGCCATTTCTTGCCCTCACCTGTGAAGTACTATCATTCGTGTCTCTGATTGGATGAACAATTTACTTTCACAGTTGTTCATTCAGTATGTAAGAAATAAATACAATTCTGAGGACAAGACTGAATGAAGAGTGACTCAGCCAGACTTCTTCAGTGACTATGCCTCTCAGAACTGCTCAGCTACAATATATCTATCCTTTTAAACTTTAACTGATTCACTTTACCTGTCAGGAACTGTTCTTGTCACCCAGGTTTCATGGTTGCTAAGGCTTGTTAACAAAGACAAAACCTCCTAAAATAGAAAACAAAAAATATGAGTAATTTCCTTGATGATAGTTAACAGTCCTAAAATACTGGTTTTTGTTTGTTGTGTTTACTTTCAAAATCCAAGTACAGATAGTGTGAATTACAAACAATAAAATACCAGGAAACAAAACAGAGTGGATTGGTTTTTTAGCAAAGACCAGAAACACAGTAAAGTTAAAACTGAATTTTAACCCTTTTACTCATATGAGTGATTAGCATCTAATACCATATCATCTAATACCATATCACCCCTGAATCACACATTAGGAAATGTATAACGAACAGTATGTAGAATATGCATACTGATGTTGAGGTGTAAAGGGTTAACATAAGGCTTCTGTTTGGTAGAGTGATTGGGACTTTCCAGAAACACATCCAAGGTGCCAGAATAGAATGTTGAAAATGTGAAAAAGCTGTACCATGCTTCCTTATTAAATCACAGTTTATCCACTTGATTTAATGGTTCTTTAGAACTCCCACTCACAACTCTCGGTTTATTCAAAAGAAACACACACTAAACGTCTCGTAGTAAGCGTGTGGAACAGTACCATATATAGGTCGATAAAACATGTGCTACATACATGTTTGTTTGGTTATGTATAGATTTTTTCAAACAAATTCACTTATTAATGTCAATCAAGTTAAGAATAGCTAAAATATCAGCCAGTTTCCAACAAGAACTCAAATTTAGGAAGATCTTAAAAAAAGGATTGTCTATTAGTAAACATAAGTTTAAAATGAAAAAAAAAAAAATTAATAATCAAAGCCGCCGTTGAATACAGATTAAGATGTCTAGAAAGCTATTTCTGCCAAGTATATATGATAGCAAGACCTAAAGTAGACAATTATAAGCAATAAACAAATGCTAAATATGCAGAATTGAAAAGGAAATTTTTGCATGACAAAGATCTAACTTAATTTACTGTGTTGTAAGAAGACTACAGAACAGTGCTAAATATAACTTTTCATTTCCTGTCTGCACACTGAAAGTTTCAATCAGATATTTTAAAACCCCAAGAATCTTAGTTCAAAATATTGTTGCCGTGTAGAAGAAGTTTTGCTTTGTTAATTACAAACTCAAGAATTTGATGCATATAATACACATGATGCCACGATCAGAGTTCCAATAATAACACAGGTGTAGTTCAATATGGATAATGCAGGCACCTTTAGTACTCCCACAAGACAATAAGCCAATTAGAAAACCAAAAACAATAATAATACAAAAAAGATGCTTGCCAAGGTATTACCATTTATCTAAATGCTGTCTTGGCTTGGTCATTATCTAATGTAACAACTCTAAAATCCGTCTTTTTAAACAATCATAAATTTAAAACATGCCACATAGAACTTAGAAAATAAGCTGATAAGACTAAAATTTGGAAATCTATTTAAGACTTTCATGAATAATAAATGTATGGTCTGGAAGGAAAACTTAATGAATTAAAATGCAGAAAGAATGTTGTCCAGCTTTGAGACTTAAAACCACCAACACATCAGCTTAATTCCTTAGAAGAAAATAGGAAATCCATTTCTTGCCAGAAGATTTATTCTCACCAATAATAAATAACAATTCCACAAAGTTATTTTCAGGTTTGGCAAATTATTTTGCTCAAGTGGGTGGGTTAATGGATAAGAAAATGAGTGAGAGACGAGCAATAAAATATTCATTTCGCAAAAATTTTTGAATAGGAAAGGCCTACAGGCAATTCTTGCAACATTTTTCCTAGAAACGGTTGGAGACCACACTGCTGATTTTCCTAACAAACACAATTTGAAATTCGCTATGGTGGAACGCAAAATAAACCGAAGTTGAGATTTTAAGCAGTCAATCATCAAACAAAATGTTTGTGTAGGTCGCCAGATAAAAACAAGTAGTTTTTCTAACGTACCACCACTGTGTACACCACCAAATTTTTATCTTGATATAAACGTTTCATGAGCTTTCCGAGCAATGTAGTACTAGATGGTTTATGAAAAAGACCAAGATCAGGGCCGATGAACCACGAAAATGTTTGTTTAACTATCGTCTGAACGCGTGTTCGTTGAGGAAAGATACAGCTTAACTCAACATCTGGAGAAAATTGTTATCATCTCTGTAGGCAGGAAAAAGCGAACCAAATTTCAGAGCTCATTATTATTCTACACATTCTCATCTGTGTAAAACTATTACCTTAAGAATTAAACTATTGGAGAAGAGTAAATATTCGACGTGAAGCTACAGGGTTAACTGTCAAATGTCACGTATGGGCACTCGAGCTTTGAAATTATCCAATTCATAACATAAGGGATAGTTTTATCGAAGTTTTTAGATCAAACACACTGATGGTAAATCGAAAGCGAAACACCATAAAAGCCCTGTTTCTAAAGATGTACAAAAAAAACTTTCAAGTCTCCTTGACATTGATTAAAGACCAGAGATGACATTTTAGTGAGATTGAATCGAACGAAGGCCTCAACTGAACGGAAACTAAGAAGAGAATGAACGTCAAGCTACCTCGTTACTGTTCCATTTGTACTTGACCGCCGCGAAGTCATCAGCTTTCTTGATTTTCGCTAATTTGTCAGGAAGAGCGATTTCCGAGGTGTTTGACTGCTCTCTAAAGTCCTGTTCGGCTGTCATTCCAAGATTTCCAAGGAGATTTCACCGCCAAATTTATCGCCCGGCAAGAGAGCGCAACGATGTCATCGCTTCGCACACTGCAATCCAGTGGCCAATTTGTGCTCATGCTAGTTGATGGCCCTTCGAAATTAATCTGGCCAAGATTATTGGATGATAACTAAGAGTCATGGAGGAAATCACTTCTTCACTTTGCGGCAAATAACACACCTGCCTGCCGCCATCTCTGTTCCCCACTATAATGCAAGTGACGCTAGGTTGAGCCTGCGAGCAAAATTTCCCAAGTCTGCTCTTGACTAAAGAGTACTTCAAATATCGCATTTCAAGTGTACTAAACTGTCCCACCCTTGCCACTCCTCCATTCATTAATCAATCCTATTTGCCCCCCTCCACCCCCCAAACCCCACGATCTAGGCATCAATTCTAGACCATTTCTATTTTTTTACTTCAGCTCTGGGTAAAGTTTCCGCACAGCCCCATACTATTGTAAAACAAATCTGTTTTCCCAGAGGAAATGTATTGTTTTTGTCATTGTTTTCTCTGTTCAAGAACTGAATGCATAATGTAGGATGGGGCTGTGCGGAAATTTTACCGAAATGTTTTGAAATTGTAACGAAAAAATTCCTTCTTTGGTCACAACTGAGAAATTTTTCACCGGTTACGTGATGCTCCAAGTGGAGAATGAGATGAACGATTATAATATCAGTGGTGGATCTAGAGGAGGGGCCTGGGAGGCCCGGCCCCGGACGCTTTATTTTGGATAAAAAATTAAAAAAAAAAAGAATTAGAGAAGGAAGAAAAGCCGGCAGGGCAGTCGATGAAAAACCGGCCTTCCCCCCCCCTTAGCTCAAGGTCTGGATCTGCCACTGAATATGTTCCTAAATTGGTCCTCATCAGCAAAAAGACAGAGACTATCCCACAAAGTTCTTAAATTTTCCAATCTTGTCATCCTCCTCTTGTTATTATAAACAAAGTTATTCCTAGAATACTTAAGTTTTAAAAATTGTTCACCAAACATGGTCTTCAGGGTTTTAATCTCTCGATGGAAAGTAGGTTGAAATTAAAGACAATCTTTTTTTTGGAAGCGGCAAGAAAACAGCAATTTGTTTGAGTGAAAATGGCAGATGTCAGATTTACATTCTCTGAACCTGTGCTGGAATGAATAAATATTTTCTAGGGCATTTATCAACAATTGTTGATAATTTTCTCTTGCTGTCTTGAATTTTGTGACAATCACGATATAAAAACAATGTAAAATCAAGCTAATAATTTCCTTTCTCCCTAAACATAAATGCACAAGGGGGTTGGGATAGTCTGTTCTATGGATTCGGTTTTTAAAGAGTAGCAGAAAAGTGAGCAAAAGAAGAGAAAAACTATGGGGGACTGGGAAGAGTGAAGGAAGGACTCTTTTCCATTGATGATATCCTGGCACATTAGACACAAATCACTGAGCAACAAAGAGCAGTTTCCTTCACAACAGCAGCAATATTGTGCACCTCTCAAGAGGTCAGAACCATGCAAAAATTTCAGTTAACCCATTACATCCTTAACATCACCATAAGACTTCTCGATACTGTCCTTTATACATTTATTACAATACTTACAAGGAGAATTTGTCTAACAATCAAGAGCTTCTTGAGTTTGTGATCACTTCCTTTATCTTTATGATCTTAATGTTTGATCAAAGGGTAATGCTGTTGCAAGAAATTGGATGCTTATCACTCTTTGTGGAGAAAAGGGTTAAATTCAATTTTTAAGAATGTTTAATGGGAGGGGAGTGTGTAAAAGAGTAATTTAAATTCACGGTGTAGACAGTCAATATGTTACTTTGTAGAACAAACGACAGTTTAGGTTGATCATCTCTCCCAATCTTATCCTTGTTATCTCTGGGAGCAAAAAAAAAAACAAAAACAAAAACAAAAATACAAAGCAAAGACACAAATAAACAAAAAGTCATTACATAGTTTAAAAAAGTGTTTTATTTCAGAGATGTAAAGAAGGGAAAATCAATGCCACTAACCTGGTTGTACATTTACTATAATCTAAAACATTAAATTCTTGGAGGGTGTAAAATTATGAATGACGTGTCTGGGGACTTTCTGGAGTACATGGATGAAGCTTACAGTAAAGCAAATTTTTATTCATGTTCTATTTCTGCAAAATGCCTGCAGAAATTTGAAATTACAACCACTGTAATTAATTCCTTACATTTCAGGTCCAAGGTTTACTAGATGCTTTTTTACCAAAGATATTCAAGGTTTAGTTAATTTATGATTTTCTTAGTTGCACTGTTACATTAACTACATTACTGGGTTAAATATGACAAAAATAAGGTACTGAATAGTAAAGTCTGTTTTACGCAGAGGCTGCAATAATAATAAGAGTACTTTTCTAGACTTAAAGAATTCCATGAGAGACATTTATAGGTCTGACATAATCCTGAAGGAGACCTGGGTAGAAAGTCATCCACTCCATACACAAGAAAAACTTTCAAAAAAGCTACCATTTTGGTTGGGGAACTAGTCAAGGCCATTTTTTAATTTTACTGTCTGCCATGTCATGTTTGTTCAAAGAATTTGTTGGTGAATCAACTAATCATGCCCTCAATGATATTTTTCTTCATTCTCATTACTTGTCTGCTTGATATTGTATTGATATTGTAGGGAGAAATTCTGTCCTGGTCACTTGTGGGAATTAAAAGGTTAACAAGTTTTGACCTAGAAGTTGTTCATCATTCAAGTCTCAGGCAAGATCAAAGTAACAAGTACTTTCTCCTTACAGTTTCAAGACAATGCCAAGCAAACAGCTGGATGTTGCCTCGATATCATGTGAAACTCTTTTCACTAATTTACAGGGTAATGCTCATCACCAGAAAGGGAGAATTTCCCATTGGATCTCTGGAGTTAAAGGTTGACCTTAGCATTACTCCAAACTACAATAACTTTTATTTCATTTCAAAACAGTTGGATGTAATTTTCAAACAGGATATATCTTAACTACTGGTCATTACGACATATGTACAGCAACTACTTAATAATGCTTTTATTAATTAAGGTAAAAAAAAAAAAAAAGAACCTTGATCCTTAAGTCAGTAGTAAGAATAGTTTATATCAAATATGAGTTAAGGTTTTGTAGTAGGAGCACTAGTAGGGTTGCTTTTACCAGGATTGTTTGCTACCACCCAAACTGAAAAAAACAAAAGAAGTCAGAAAATAAAAAATATCATCATCAACTACCTTAAAAACTAATGCACCAATCAATTACAAGCTTAAGATTAAAGTAATTAGTTCCCTTATGTGAGCAGATGGCTTGGAAGAAAAGGTTCACAGGGTCTAGGTTTTAAAAGCTTGGTCAATGTGTAGAAATACATGTTGCTGATTTTGCCTGTGTTTCCCTGGCAATTCATTGGTATGTGTTGTACAACATACTTTGTGAACAGAGGCATGGATGACTTTACAACATCATGAATGAAGGTAACTTGTTCCCTAAGTACCCAAGATATGGCTCTTAAACTATTACTACAAACAGCACCTGGGATTTTTGTGAAACATCGTAAATTTTTTTAAAAAAATCTTTTAGGCTTTTAAGCAGTCATTGTATCGGAACCCAACAAAAATCATACAAATGACATTGGAATAATATACATTTAACCACCATAATGAAGAAACAAGGATGAAATCTTGATTGACTTACTGACAATGGCTGCAATGATTACAGCAATCACCACAATGAGAATTATCCACATCTGAAAGAATGAAATAAAAACAACACACTTAGCTATGGAAATCAGAAGTGCATTCTATAACTTTGTCAAGCCTGATGTTTCCAATTGGTATCCACACTTTCTGGAAATTATCCAGCAAAAAGAGCATTAATACAAAAGCGACTTTTCAGTGCCTATCTTGTCATGTAATGATAATTGTAACCACAAAAATCTCAATGATAAAGAGTACTTCACTACAGAGTGAAAGTGTCTTAGAGTGCCTCTACCCTTACTAAAGTAATTTAGACAAAATTAAGCTGTCAAATCATGGGAAGTGAATTGTGATTCCAGCTAGATTCCATAGAGCCAATTTGTGCCAAGGACCAAAGTAAGCAAAGATGACAAAGAATTCAAATGAAGGTCAAAGTATATTTGACAGATTTGTAAATTAGTGTGACATCAGTAAGAGTAGTCCCACCATAAAGGTAGCTTCTGTATGATAGCTATGATCATGATCATTTGTGTAATTGGGGTGGGTTCTGAACTTCAATGGAGAAAAAAAAAAACTTCAGTATCAAAAGTACAATTGTATGACAACCCTTTCACTTCAAAGATCGCATAGGTAATTCTCCTTACTGTCTGCCATACACTTCTTATGATATTAGTATGGAGAATTCGATATTTGATCAACTAATAATCTCCTAATTAATATTTTTCTTTATTCCCTTCACTTACAGTATCTTCTAGGTATTGTATTGATATTGTAAGGAGAAATTCTTTATTAATCACTTGTGGGAGTTCAATTGTTTACTTTACCTTGCAGTTCTGCCACCACATTTTTCGCTTCAACCTTGCTGCACTATGTTCAAATTGTGATGCTCCAGCTTGCAATTGATCTGATTAATATAAAAAAGTAAAACTGTCAAGCAGATATTTTTTAATTAATAAACATACCTGTAAGTCTTTTCCAAATTATAATTAGTACCAGATAAAAGACACATACACTGTAATTGTTTGATGACCACTTTAAAAGATATCGTATGTGCACAAAAGGGATTCCCATTTCAACAAAATGTTCCACTTCAAATTCCTCAAACGTTTTGGCAGGTGCTCAATCACCCTTGGTAGCTCTGTTTATTCTTTAGAAAGGTGACTGATGAGCTTATTGAAGTACATTTTCAAACAATTTCAACTCCAAAAACCAAATTATGAAGGAAACTGTCAAAGAGATGAAGGATTTCAACCGACTCTTAAAGTCCCTTGTCTTTCAAAAACTGGTGTCAACAACCTTTCAAAGAGGCTTTGAGTTTTTTTTTTTTAACAGTAACATCCTACAGAACCCAAAGGGTAACTTGCATTCCTGCAAAAATTTGCAATACACTTGATTAAAAAAAAATACATATATGCAATTGTGACTGTTCTGAGAAACATTCACCAAACATTCACCAATTCTCAGCTGTCCTAAACTGACTAAAAGTAGAATGCTCTATAATTACCATATTGAGTACGAATTTGTGTAAAAATTACAAACATTTTTCGGTACTTGACAATGTAAAAACGGCACGTTAAGTTCTGGTATGTTAATTCTCATTTGTAAAGGAAAGAACACGAAACTTGTTTTCATGCCTTGACCAAGTAATTGATCAAGTATATTAGTACAACGCAAGATTGTTTGTTTATAGAATAATGGAAAACTGTAGCCACCGCAGTCAAACTTTGACTAGCAAACAATAATCTCTAGTATTCACAAAATTAATAAAATTACGACTTTGAGAGGCACGAAAAAGTTAACTTACGTCATTTGGATAACAATGACTGATTTCAATCTAAGATTATACTATTTAATATGGATCGCTCATTACAATGAGTCATGAAAACATGGAATGGTTGATTTTAAGTTATCTAATATAGATTTTTCAACAAAATTTAAAAATTTTTCTTGATTATGTTTTACAGAGAAACAAGAGTTACGAAAAACTTGCCCGGTAAACAAGTTTAAACGCCCACAAATAATAACAGACCATGCTCCCTTCCCTACCTGCTCGAGAATCAAGTTCTGACAATTTAGCATCTCTCTCCAACACTTTGTCGACATTCACTTTCATGATGTCGACGACCTGATAGAAGTCAAAAGACAAATACGTCAAGCATTCAATTCGAGCTTCGATGGAATAACAACGTTAGAAAACGATAGAGGATAACTTGACGGAAGACTTAAGCAGTAAATGAATTTCCTACAACGTGAAAAATTCTTAAATGGGGCTGTTCCAACGGAACAGATCAGTATTAACACATTCAAAATGTTGAAATTACCTCATCCACTTGGGCTTGCGTTTGCTGTAACCTTTTGTTCGACCTGAAATTTGAAGAACCAAAAAGTTTTCACTTTGAGAGAAATAGAACTTGGCAAACAACTCCATTTGGGTTGTGTGATCTATTTCATACTCTTGTAACTGCCGCCAAATTTACGCAACCGATTTGTAACGAAAACATAAAGTACATTTAACGAATTTTGCCGCGAAGTGTAGGTTTTTTTTAACAAAAACAGATTATACTTACATTTTTCCAATTTGAAGTACGCAACCGAATCAAAATCAATGCAGCAAATGTATGTTAGAGCTAATCCAACTTCCCTTTTCCACCACTAGATATACTAGGCAGTGACGTCATCTGTACTGTGAACCGCAATTTAGTTTACAGCGGAGCTACCCGTTGTGCGAAAACGAGGTCACCGGTTCGAAGTTTTGCACGTGTGGGAACTTACATCAGACATCAGTTGAAAACCTATAAAAAATTTCCCCAAGTGGAGGAGATTGCGTACCTTCTTGATGTCCTGGTTATTTGGAGTTAACAAGCCTTCCCCACCTGGTGAGGGGCCTCCGTTGATCCCGGGTTCTCCGCCGGGAGGAGACGATAAAAGTGGAGGAGATGAAGGATCGAAGGATGAGAACTCAGAGAATGAAGGCTCCAAAGGTGCCCCTGTTTGGAGAAGCTTCGATCCGTCGGGTCTTGAAAGGGCTGCTAAAGCTGCAAGGGAACTCGAGAAATCACGTAAGTGTGTTGATCTGACGTCTGGAGATAACTTGTTGGCAATCTTTTTGGTACACAGTACAGTGACTCGTACTCGTGGCACAAAAACAGCTGATGTGTAAGTTACGAATAAAGTTCGATGTGATTTAGGAGTGATATTGCATCACTCTTGAATCCTAACACGAAAGTTATTTGAGGTTCGATAAGTAAGATTGCTTCTGTCAGCGAGAGGTTTTATGTCAAATGTTTCACATTTATTTACCCATCGGTCTTAATCAACAGATTTTATCCCTATCCCCACCCCTGCCATGCCTCCACCCCTCCACCCTCATAATTTCTGTATGATTTATGCAATGCAACAGCTACCACATAATAGCATAACTGGCATTTCAGCTGACCCATATCTCAATAAATTTCTATATTTGTAAGACTGTGGCACAATGGTTACAAGTCACCTATTTATATAGAGTAAGGGGATTAAAAACTGTGGTGACATCACAAAATCCACTTAAATGACCAAATGAATAAATGGAAAATGTTCCAAGTCCAATTTAAGAATAGCTGATGGTATGACCACAAATATATCAACTCAGATATGTATATCACCAGTATCAATGAATTAAATGCATGTCCACTGAGGTCAAACAAAAGTTTTTGTTCATTGAATATAGTCTGCAGTGTTGTTGTCCTGTTAGAAAGCAAGGACCCGGAGCCTAGGCTTTAACAAAAGAGGTTTCCCATTTGGTTTAAAATAATTTTTTACTATCTTAGATTTTTTTGGTAGAGGATGGTTGAGGAAGGAAAAACATTTCCACCAAGGGGAAGAATAAAAGACAAGGGAAGGGGAGGGTGAGGAAAGAATTTGTCTCCTCCCCTGGTCTGGAGAAAAAATCACAGACTTGTGATTCTAACTTGCCTTTATCGATTAGACCTTTGTATTGCAACCTTGAGCAGTGTTATAATAGGGCTCATTACAAGTGAAAATGAGAAAGAGTCTTCCCATAGGCATACAAGCATACCTGCCTGAAAAAGAAATATTTAGTGAAAAGGAGGCCTTTTGGAGAGGTAGGTGAGTTACTAATAAGAGACAATAGACTGATTCTATAATTGCACATTTTAGATCACTCGAAAGAGGCTCTTGAGATGGCAAGAGTTCAGGAAGCAACAAAGCAATTGGAGCAACAGCGTAAAATTAAGGTGAATAAATTTTATTGATACTTTACGTAGGGATCTGAGAAACGTGATGAGTGTGCATTGTTTGTCTATTTTTCTTTTGGTCAAGTGGTGTTTTGACCCATTAACCCTTGACTCCCAAGATCTGATTCTAGCTGCTTAAGACATTTCCTCGTTAGTTAGTCAGGGAAATATCTTGTTAGATCAAGATAACTTTTACCTGATAGATTTGAGTATTCTCATTACCTGTTTGCTTGACAATATAGAGATATCATGAGGAGAACTTACTTTTAATCCCCCATTGGACTTAAAGAGTTAAAGGTTATCGAATCCATTTATAGCTCTAGGGGTCTTGTTTACTAGGGTATATGGTAATTTTTGCATCTCAACACCCATCTTGGTTTTCTCATTTTTCATTATTTTTCCATATTAATTTAAGTATGTCCAAAACTTGAGGCAGCTGCAGATATTCATGTTGTAAACTTTGAAAAAGTTTCAGTTATATTAGAAGAAATGGTCTGATTAGTACCCCAACAAACCCCTCCCCCTCAGAAGGAGAGGCTCTCCTGCCCCACCTGGCTAGGCTTGGGTAATCTCAACATTTTACTCAGAAATGATTAATATGTAAATTTTCCCTGCATTGCCGGTGCACTTCCTCATAAAGAATTGACGAGAAAAGATAAATTTATCATTTATAGGTTGTTGGATCGATACAACACCAAATTCTCGATGCTGATCAGAGGAAATTTATAGAAAATAGAAAGGAGATTTACAAATGAAATCTTGGGAGTTGAGGAGACTTGACCTGAGTAGCTCTCATTGATTTGCAGGAATATGAAGCAAGCATCCAACAGATACAAATGGACAAAGTGAGAGTGGAACAGGAGGAAAAGAGGAAAACCCTTGCAGCAGAAACTCAACAACATCAACAGGTTAGTAACAATAATTTAACCCCTGCCCAGTATCTCACCCAAACCCCTTCCTCCTGGACATCTCAAGCTCCTAACTAATATTAATAAAATCCCTGAAATCTTCAACCCTAAAAACCAGAACATCAGTATGCATAGATGTTTTCTCCCTACTGTTCTTCACACATTTCCTAAGGTGCTGACAAGGAGAATTTGTTTGACAATCAAGAGCTTCAGTAGTTTGTGATCATTTCCTTTATTCTCACGACCCTTAATGTGTTGATCAGGGGTGATATCATTAAGAGAAATTAGATGTCAATCACTTTTAGGGAACAAAGGGTTAACCCTCTTAGGCTAGTATCTCAAAACCCTCCTATGTTTTTAACATGATAACTTTTTTAATATCCCAATATTTACCATCTTTGCTACAGTTCAAGTTGATTTTGGCTCAACCCCTTTGAAGAAACTAATTATCTTTTATTTGCTTGTTCATCAGCGTGCTCAGTACCAAGACCAGCTAGCAAGGAAACGTTACGATGATCAACTTTCACAACAGGTAACATACATATAGGCCATCATTGAGGGTGAAGCAGGGGCTACCTTGACTGCAGGCCCCTTTACGTAGTTTTTCTAGTTTAAACTTTATATTCAGTATTTAACTGACAAGTCAACAAAGTTAATCATTAGGGTCTTGGAAAGTAATCTTGGTCAATTATTTTGTTTCTTGCTTTGATGATTTGTGTGTCACATTACAAATTACATGAACCCTTTTCAACCTAACACTTGTTTCTAAATTCTCCATACTCTTCTCTATTCAATTGGTTTGGTACTGACAAGGAGAATTTGTGTAACAATCAAAACTTCTTAGGTTGGTGATCATTTCCTGTATTCTCATGATCTTAATGAATGAATCAGCAGTATCACTGTAAGGAGAAAGTAGATGCTGGTTGCTCTTAGCATTTATGGGATTAATTAATGGATACCAGGGAAGTAAGAAATACATTATTGTTAAGTGATGCCATTTTTTGTAGATATTAACAATTTGAAAAATATTCTTTTAGCGTCGTATGAATGAAGAAAATTTGGCTAAACAGGAAGAGTCAGTGAAGAAACAAGAAGCCATGAAAAGAGGTACATAAGGCTATTTTCATAAAATAAACATAGTTAATTTGCTTTGAAACCAAGATTAGACATTTCATTCGACGTTTTATCTTTGCAAACTTATCAGTTTAAAAATTTTTCTGGAATTCAAGCTTTAATCAAACAAAGTTTACTATTTGCTCTGATGTGGGCCAAGGCTCAAAATGTCAGCTTTGAAACTCTTTTTGGTGGCCAATTTACATTATCAAGTTGAATGCAGTTGATAAAACAAAAACTACCTTTAAATAATCCCCACCAATGCAGCCCCACAGTTTTAAGAAACTAACCCCCTTCATTCAATGGTTACTGTGATATTCAGCAATGCATTCATCACACAACCCATAATTTATTTTTTAAACTGAATTGATAATTATAGCGGAGCTCGCAAAGCATAGCCCCTAATTATACAATATAGCAGTAGCTTGTCAAGCCAAAAAAATATTTGGATGTACAACCGTATGACCGTACGACCGTACAAGGTGCTACTTTTAACATGCATGGTCAACTGTACCGTGGGCACACCAACGCCACAGCTTTGATCAGTAGTCCAGTGGTCAGTGCACTGAGCTCCAAGTCAGATGACCCGGTTTCTAGTCCTGGCCAGGGCAAGGCAAGGTGTTGTACCCTTGAGACGTGTGGGGAAAAAAAAACGCAAGCTCCACTTTTAGGCTTGGCTAAATCTATATATTACCAGAATGGTTCATGATAGTGGCCAACTCTAACAAGACTTTGGTTAAATAATAGTATGTTACTACAATCTATATTGATCATCTCATTACATCCCCTTTGCAGGCACAATTGAATATGAAGCCCAGATAAAACATGACAATGAAATGAAAAGACTGGAAGCAGAGCTCCGTGGCAAGTAAGTGATAAATCAGTTTTTCTAAATTTCTAAGAAAGCTATAATGTGTTCCTTCTAAATTACCAGCTTGGAGGGAGTGAGCTTGGGAGATGAAGATTATGGTGGGGCTCTGGAGTGGATAATTTTTTATTATCTGAAAGAAGAAAAAACTAAAATAAAGGGTTTGTTAAATTCTGTAAGCCTTTATGCCTTTGATGATACCTTTGTACCTCTCTTCCTTCCAGCATGTCTTCACCTGTCTCTGAAAATGTCCAATTCTGTCGCTTTTGTGGATGACATTTCCCCAAACCCTTTAACTCCTGTGACAGAATTTCTCCTTACATTATCAACATGATATCAAGAAGACAAGTGATGAGAATAAACAAAAATATCAATTAGGGGATCAATAGTTGATCCACTATCATATTTCCCAAACTAACATCATAAGAATTTTATGGAAGACAGTAAGGAGAATTACTAATGAGATCTTGGGAATGGAAGTGTTAACCCTTTACACCCTAACATCAATATCCATATTCTCCATACTCTCCTCTATACATTTTCTCCAGTACTGACAAGGAGAATTTGTTGAACAATCAAAGACTCTCCAGTTGGTGATCATTTCCTTTGTTCTCATGATCTTAATGAATGATTCAGATATATTACTGTAAGGAGAAATTAGATGCTGGTCGCTCTCAGGGTTTAAAGGGGTTAGCACTTGCCTCGTTGGAACTGTCATCAGTGATCACCCAACATATCAATTGACATTATAACTGGGAGCCATCAAAATTTTTGTCAATCATTATAGTTCATAATTTTGCTTGATTTTTTGTGCTCTCTTGGCAAAAAATATGTACACGAGTTTTGGATAAATTGATAAATTGATTTACTAATTAATGACTGATTGATCTGCATACCAATTATTTTCAGAGCTAAAATAGAACGTGAGAACAAGGACATTAGAATGGAACAGATTAAACTCAAAGCTGCAGAGCAAAGAGAGACTGTTCTGCAATCAATCAAGTAAGTGCCGATTATGCTATTTGTCAGGGATTCTGGTTAAGAGAGAAAGTAAATTTAGAGCCCAGTCATTAAATAAAGAAGGATGTTATTCATTATGATACACATGTGGAACACAGAACAACTTTCTGCATATCCCATAATTCCTCAGGAGGAACACAGAATATGCAGCTTGGTTTCCCTGTAACTATGTTCCAGTGTTACAGATGGTGACTTATTTTTGTTTTGCAGGACAGCAGGTAGCATCCTTGGAGCAGGATTTGATGCATTCATCTCAGACTGGGATAAAATATCTGCCACAGTAAGACTGATGCCTTCATGTACACATTTGTGAATGACTTATGAAGTGGATTCAGTGGTGAACACCCACAAGGGACTCTCCTTGTCCACCATTTCTTGGTCAAATTTGAATAAGAAAGGTTGAGTTTTGATACAGCAGGAAAAACCAAAGAATCCAGAGGAAAGTTTTTCTATCAAGGAGAAGAACCAATAACATCCTCTGCCCAGATGTGACTGTGGATCTTTTAAATCACACTCCAAGGTGCAACAGAGGGAGGCAAACACTTTCACCACTTCCCTATCCCTTGTACCTTATGTACAGCTCTTGGGGTAGATTAGTGGAATTTCAGTTGTCTGAGTCATTGTTATATGCCTCTTTTTGCAGGCTGCAGGCCTCACCCTCCTTGCTCTTGGTGTTTACACAGCTAAATATGGCACAGGAGTCACAGCCAGGTGGGATATTCTGCACACTTTACTTACAAACCCTTTCAACCCTACAAGTGACTAGAATCTAATTTCTCCTTACAGTATCACCCCTATATCACATATTAAGGTTACAAGAATAAAGGAAATGATCGTCAAGTAAAGAAGCTCTTGATTGTTACACAAATTCTCTTTGTTTGCACATGACAAAATGTATAGAGAACAGTATGGAGAATATACTTACTGATGTTAGGGTGTAAAGGTTTAAATCATGTCAACTACCAAACTCCTTTATTATTTTTTTCTTTGCATTTATAGATTCATTGAAGCTCGCTTAGGGAAACCAAGTCTTGTTCGTGACACATCAAGATTAAGTGTTTTTGGTACTTTGCGACACCCAGTTCAGGTACTAATAATAAAACCAGGACTTTCTACTTTTTTTCCTCTCCTCCTTTGGTTTTTTACCTATGCCAGGATGTGCTAACTCGTATAATTTGTCTACTTTCCAGACTGTTAGGAAAATGTTTGTAAATTATGAAGACTCATTGCAAGGAATTATTTTGAGGGTAAGTACACGTGACATTTGGTTAATGGCTGAAATTGTTGATAATTTGAAGGATTTGAAGTGCTCCCATTGTAAGCGATAACAATCTTTCCCTTAATGAGTTTTTCAAATATTTTCTCGTTACAGCCCAGTCTTGAAAAGAGACTTCAAGAAGTAAGCAAAGCAACAGCGAATACTAAGAAAAACAAAGGACTGTACAGGAATCTACTGTTTTATGGTCCACCAGGGACTGGAAAAACGATGTTTGCAAAGGTGAGAAGACTAGCTTTCAGATCGTAATTAAAAATTTGGATAATTATGAAGAACAACTTCCTGAAAAGACCTGTCGGCCGACAGTCAGCCAACATTCGGCAGACAGACGGCCAGCCCTTTTTATAAGCGATTTAACGTTTACAGAGTAGCTTCATCTATTCCGCTCTTAGAAAAAAGTCATTTCGCTCTGACATCAATTTTCAAAGTTTGCTTGAGCAGCTGCCTGAATCAGCTTCAAGTTGAAAGAGTTTCTTTGGCTCGCCAGCACAGCGCAATAGTTTCTTTTCTGGACTGCCGTAAGCTTTGCTCCAAATCTCTTAAAGCTGCTGATACCAGGGTAAATTCTGGCGAGATGGTCGTTTTGGCCAGTAAAGCAACTCGACTTTTTCACATTATAACTGAAAATTCGAATATGAGCTCCGGAATTTAAATCCTGAATAAGCTATTGCTCCTAGAAATTGAAAGCGATTAAGCTAATTGTTTTAGAATAAATCCACTTGCCTTTCAAAACTTAACGACGGGACAAGCTCGAGTGTCTACTGGAAAATGATGCAGATACAACATATTTTTGGGCAACTCAGTCAAGTCACCATCTATCTCTAAATAGATAGCGAGTTGGTAGCCAATCAGAGTGTAGCATTTGTGATAGAACGCTTATACTTATTTGCACTTATCTTCCAGAGCCTTGCCAAGCATTCTGGGATGGATTATGGTATTATGACTGGTGGAGATATTGTTCCTATGGGAAAGGAAGGAGTGACAGCCATGCACAAGGCGTTTGACTGGGCCCAGACCTCTAGGAGAGGGTAAGAGGAACAGATGTGATTTGATGCTGTTATCATGGCAATTCTTCGTGATTTCATTTTTTCCATTGTGCTTTTTTTTTCTTTCAGTCTTCTTCTCTTTGTGGACGAGGCTGATGCTTTCTTACGCAAACGTAATCAGGTAAGAATGTTCTTGGTAATTGAGAAAACTGCTCATCACCAAGTCAATTAAACAGACGTTCAAGCAATTTTAAACTGAGGATCGAGATTTTTCCGGGATTGTATTGGTTTTGCCTTACTTCGCTCTGTGATTGGTCCAAATAACTTGCGCGACTCTCTCAACCAATAGGAAGCAAAACTGAAATCAATCACGACTTGGTCGCCCGCGTTTTCCCGCGCTTTAGGCGGTTTGCTTCTTTTATTTTAAGTTCTCATTTGCTATTCTGGGTATTCTCCTTTTTGGCTGATGGGCCGTTGTGGTTACTTTGGTTTGGTTTACGTCACTCAATCCAAAAGTGCTCCATACCGAAACCAATAGTAATTTGGTCACCCGCATTTTTCCGCGCTCGGCGCAACTTAGTGAAATGTTTCTTTGACTCTTTAGGAAAAGATGAGTGAGGACCTGAGAAGCACATTGAACGCTTTTCTCTACAGAACTGGTGAATCTTCACGCAAGTAAGCTCTTTCAAATTTTTCCAATTTAGTTGTCGTCGAGTCAGTTCACATTTTTGGTTGATGTTTAAAAATAACTGCATGCAGTGAATTCCTCGAGTTCCTTTTGTTACATTCTTTTTATCACTGATTATTAAATTTCTGCGATGATGGTCAGGTGTCACGACTGAATGATATTTATTCTTTCTTCCTTTAAGTTTACTTGTTTGTTTTTTTTTTTCGTACAGGTTCATGTTAGTTCTCGCTAGTAACCAGCCTGACCAGTTTGACTGGGCCATCAATGACCGGTTAGACGAGATGATTGAGTTTGGTCTGCCAACTCTCGAGGAACGAGTACGTTTAGTCCGGCAGTATTTCGAGGAACACGTTTTAAAACCGGCCACAACAGGATCGCGAACAAGGTAAATTGCTAAGCAATTGGTAATTTTTGCAGTAGTTGTCAAGAGAGTGTCAGGAATAGTTCGGTGTTTTGTTAGTTTTGCATCACTTAGTACCGTGATTGGTCTTGAGAACTCGCGCCATTCTTTCGACCGATGATATGCAAAGTTGATACCAACCTGGACTTGGTCAATCGAGATTTGCCGCGCTACAGCTTGATGTTTGTTTTTTCTTTGAATTTCATCGGCTCCTTGTGGTATCTCCCTTCTTGTTTCGCGACACTCAACCGTCAGAAAACGCTCAAATTTTTTCACAAGTAATGGCATTTGTCTTCACATTTATTTTCCTGCACAACACTTCCAGCCTCAGTTATCTCTTTGGTTGGCTGTTTACGTGTTTCCAGTCTATTTTCGTATTATTCTTGATTTGATTTTCTTCACTTTTTAGTCGTATGAAAATTGCGAACTTCGACTTTAGCAAGAAATGCCAGCAAATTGCCGAAGTGACAGAAGGTCTCTCTGGAAGAGAAATATCAAAAATAGCGATTGCTTGGCAGGTAAGTTTTGAGGAAATCGCTGGTGAAATGGTTTTTATTCAAGTGTCAAAAATGGATCAGAATTTCTTTGGTTTTGTTCCACTTCGCTTTGTGATTAATTAGGACAACTCGAGTCACCTTTCAGCTCAACCAGTCGGATGAAAAACTAAAAGCAGTCGTGATTACAAACGCGCCTTGGAGCAATCACCTGTGTTTACTCTGTGTAATCATTGGCCAATATAATCTTGATTTGCCTCGATTAATATTGACTGCAGCTTTCACGTCGTAATTTATTTTACTTTTGTAACATGCAATTGAAGAGCGCGCAAAATTGAACTAAGAAATTCGATGTTTTGATTTTGTTTACGTTCAAGCCTGATTTAGGCTTTTTCTGTCATTCCAGGCTAGTGCTTATGGTTCGCCAGATGGTGTCCTCACAGAGGATATGATGGATGAAAGAGTGGAAGAAGCTGTACGACAACACAAGCAAAAAGTAGAATGGCATCAAACGGAGCCATTAACTGAAACAACTGCGTCAGTGACCACAACAGAGAAAAATAAAGCGTCCTCTCCGAAAAGAACTTAAATTTAACTTATCTTCATTAAATGATTTGGGAAATCTTTTTAATAGAGTGGAGGAAGAAGTGATAACTGCAAAATTTCTAAATATTTATCGTCGGCGACTTCCCTTATGCTTCAAGTGCCGGGGAGAAGGTTCACTGATAGGTCTCATGGGGTGTTTGAACAATTTATCAGGATCTTCCAGTAAGACGATAATAGAGAATGCTGTCTGTGTATAGACAGTGAGGTAAATGAAACCTCTAACATTCACTTTTCATTTTGATTGTTTTGTTCTCGACATTTGGCCAGCTGGACATACTACCTGTTCAGAACACGCGTTTTGATTGGTGGTCAGCAGTTAGCCTGCGAACAGGCACTCGTTATTAGTGTCAGACCTCTTGCACACTTTTCGCCGGCTCACTTTACCCCAGGCCTTCGCGAGCGAAGAAACGCCCTTGCCGCAACTACCAAGCAATACCAACACAAGCTAAAGTCATCGCACATTTGATTTGCAGCTCTCCTGAGCGAGAGCGATGACTCGATATCGTTTTTCTAACAGATCACAGATTTATGCTCACACGGACTTATTGCCGCCCTTTGACAACTGAGCTTAATATTAATAATTTTAATGAAGTAATTAAATAAAAGTCGTCGAAAATTTCTCGCAATATTTCGACATGAATGATCGATGATACTGGAATCGTCATTGATCTCTGAAGGGATTAAGCGCCTAAGCAAATATTTGAGTGTAGCCTCATATCGGCCAATTTAGCAGAAGCACAAGGTGATTTCTCCGTTATTAATGTACAATTGCAAGGGATAAAACCGAACATTAGTAAGATTGCTTTTGGGTCATGTTTAAGAGGAAGCACGAAATGCACTGAAACATCCGCCTAAATTAACCCATTTGAGATCGAATCTTCCGAACCTTAACGGGACCAACGAAAGAAACAGACGGAACAGTAAAAAAAATTAGACTAAACCTTCAGTAACGAATGGGGCCTTCCGAAATAAGGCGGAGCCGTCCGAGATCAAACGTCACCGTGAGAAATTAGGCGGAACCATCTTTGCCTGAACTCTTGTTGAAAACAGAACAACACAAAATACAGCAAAAACCAAAAGCATCATAAAATTAAAACGGAAAGAATGCATTTCTGGATCTGTCAGGGGGTGATGTTGATCACCGTTGAGTGTCACGCGATCCAAAATGAGGCGTTTGCGAAATCTTCAAAGAATAAGGCTCGATCCCAGGTTACTGATCCAACAACAGAGGTAACGGAGAGAGAGAGTGACCTGGCAATGAGGTAGTGTAAACTGTAATGCGTCATGACGGCACTCTGCACAACTATGACGTCGGTTCAGGATAAGATGTAACTAGGCGACGGGGCTGTCACCAATATTGATATAAAGATGACAAATAAACGAATGTTTTCCTTTCATCTTTGCAAAATCACAAGAAGCGTTTCGAAAATTTGAAATCTAGCTCGATTAGTCTTTTGATAAAAGCATTAATTTTGGTTTTAGATGAGTCCTTAGCATGACGGTTTGTTTGAATGAAGTTGCAATGCAGTCAGGAACAAAGAAATGTCGGCATTGAAAACTAATTAAAAAATAATTATGTCTTTCAGGTTATTTTGAAGTATTTTACGTTGTTGGTTAATTATTAAACAACTTCCTCATTTATGTTTAGTTTTAAACATGTTCTTTAATTAATGTAGAACCCTTGTAAGAATTAATCTTATAGTTGAGGCTTCTTTTTTCGGTTGCATTTATTTTCGTTTACGCCAGAGCTGTGAAAATTCTTTGCTACAAAATGGGATACATATTTTAAACCGAAATTTCAATGAACACGTTTCAGAGTAGCATCATTATCCTGAAAGTTTTTTCATAGTTGTATGTCTTGTTAATATTCTGAACACATACCGAGAGATTTTTTTGCTGATTTCTAATCGACAAGTTTACTTAAGCCTCACAAAGGATCCGCATTGAACGCGTCGGGAGCGTTTGGTAAATAAATAGCGTTATTAGGCATTGTTTCGCGATTTTTTCTTTGTTTATTTGAGCAGACTTAACAGCTAATTTGCTCATGTTTATACATATTTTAATACGTGCGAATAAACAGAGTTTGAAGTACGCTAGGAGTGAGGGAATCTGACAAGTTCTCTCTGAAATCATCGCAATGTTTATTATTACGACACAGAAGCGGCCTATGCTGACTTGCTTGTCTCAATGACCAGAATTAACAATATGTGCAACCGATGTGAAACGAAACAAGCGCCAAGTATCTGCTGAGTACAGGTAAAGTTGATTTATTTTGTAAACAGGAGTTAAAGTTTACCTTGATTACAGTAAGGTCAGTAAAAACATGGAGCAACGAAACTTGAGTTAGCTTCCAAAATTTCTTTTTTGTAAAGTTCGGTTGCAAAACATTGAGGAAGGTTTGACTTTGAACAATACAATGTTTAATAACCTTCCTATTTTACTAAAGGATCAAACATATTCGCAAAACTTTGTAACTCAATCAATAGCTTTATTTAAGTATCATTGATATATAGCCGAGGATAAATCCTTACTAGCTTTAATTTTTACAGCCCAAGTGATGGCTTACAACGCAACATGTGAAAGAAAGTTTCCATTTGCGTTCAGCGCCTTTCATTTGCACATAAGGAGAATCTATCAAAAGATAAAACGCGAAATTTCTTAGTGAGCGTGTCTCAAGGATTGTCGTAATGTTGTGTTGAAAACCTTTCCTTGTGCACTATCTAAGACCTTTACTCTCAAAAGATTTGGATTACGTGTATCTTCTTACATCAACAACAAGTGCAAGGGACTTCGATGCGAATATAAGCAAATTATTCTGCCTTGTAAGGTTTACAAAAAAACAGTAATTCAAATAAGAATATTTTCGCTTCGAGTCTTCGCAGTTACAAGACCACAAAACCGAACGAACTGACAGACAGAAGAAAAAAGGGGTTAAGATTCTAAAGAAACTGTGGTGCTGCGTCGATGGGAGAGTATAACAGGGTAATTTAGTGTATCAGTTGAGTTGATTACGTAAATTGCCACCGTAAATAGTTTAAAGGCCGACGTTTCGAGCGTTAGCCCTTCGTTCAATCGCTCTGAGGAAGGGCGAACGCTTGAAACGTCAGCCTTTAAAATCTTTACGGTGGCCAATTTACGTTATCAACTCAGTTGATGACACTATATTACCCGCCTGTGGACTGACAGACAGTCAGACAAAGAGACAGATACACAGCAGGTAAAAAGATACACAAGCCAAACTTGTGGTCAGACAAAGTAAACATACAGCAGTTTCTTTTTGATCCGAAGTGTCAACAATCAAAGAAAACCTGCCTTATAAAGAAAGCCGCCTTAAAAACGCGCCGCCTTAAAGAAGTACCGCAGTTTGAGGCAAAACTATCGATGAACGCCGCTCTCGAATAACCATCCGTATAAGTAAGCATGTTTGGGCTTTGCTCTACACTTATTTCTATATTCCAATTGTTTTAGTGATTTTGTTGTTGCTAAAACTGATATTTGAATTTCCAGTCTAAAAATCGCTCTTTGGACTTCAAGGTTTGTGGTGAGTTCGCCCATTTGCAAGTTCGCTGCCTTTCACCTTTGCAAGTTCGCCTCTTAACTTAAGACAAGTTCGTCTCCAGCTTCACCAGTTCGCCCCCCAAATCTTTCAACTCGTTTTTCTACCGCAAAAAGTATCCATTTCCTGTCAAAACCATGATTGTTTTGCAACCAACATGCTACTTCCACAACGCAACCAAAAAAACAAGGTTTGCTTCAAGAGTGAACATAAGTGGTTTCAAACCTCTGGTTCTCTGTTAATTCTTTTTTGGTGACACGAATTACTTTCCATGTTGTTTATGAATCTATAGAAACTACAACTGACGCTGTTTAAAAACTTATAACACCACAAGGATGGAGGCGAACTTACGTTTTACTCTGGGAGGCGAGCCGGCAAAGGTGATTGGGGGCGGACGTGCAATGGGGTGATAATCAATGTTTTCTTTTATCATGCAATATCTTTACATTTTTGTAGGTTTTGACGACTTCTCCGTTCTATCTCTATGGGGAACGGCATTAGGAAATATTTTGCCTTTCGAGTTCGTCCCCAACCCTCTGACTTGCAGCCAGTCGATGCAAATGCATGGATTCTTGAGGAAGTGGGACGAGGCAAAGCAGGAAAACATCGCCGACCAAAATTCGGTGATATGATTGGCTCCATTTACATCTTAACAGCGCTTATTGGGAATTTAAACTCCCCATACACAAAGCTTAGTCGTGCAGGGCTGTTGCTATGGATACTGAGTATGGCAGTGAACTTCACATATGACGGTTATGAGTCAATTGCTAAATATGGCTACCCATGGATGGGTGTACGCGGTTTGCTGTTGATCACTTGTTGTGTTTGTACGTGGTTTACTATTCGGCGTACGATCCCGTGGTTGGAGAAAGGACTGGGGGAGCTGGAAAGGGATAAGCGTTACAGGAAGGCGTTGCGTGACATAAAAGTCATCACAAAGGTGAGTCTCCGAGATAGCTCTCTCATATTTTGTGGTTTGAATAGATTAGATGAACGGCACTCGTCAGCGCGTTTACGAGGGTAGGAACTTAACATCAGTGGTAACATCTGAGGAGGGGAAATTTGACAACGAAAGTTAGGAATGCAGGGCGGGAGGAGTGGGGGGGGGGGGGGGTAGGAGAGAGTCTTATACAAAATACCATGATAAGAAAGAAATCGTAGTGGAGATTTAAACGCTGATGAGGGAGAACAAGGGGCGTTGTTGGACTTGTGGTGACCTGACTTAGTGTGCTGGATTCCGGGTCGAGAGGCCTGGACTCGAGACTTAAAAGTTGCACAGTCACTTCCCTCACGGGAGTGTAAAATGATTGACAGACTATCAGGTATGCCCGGTGAAAATTCGAAAAGCTGGCGGGTAACTTACATCGACATCCCATTCAGGTCTACAGGATGGGCTCTAACTAAATGAGTCCCTCGGTTAGAGTTCAGACTTTACTTTTCACAGAACAAATAAACCTTAGATTTTAAGAATACTCTGCTTTTCCAAGGAGAATCATCTTCTCCACAAATTGACTGGCACATAGGAATTTTCAACCCTCAGATGTTTACTTTCAGCAATGGATTTATGATTTTATCTCCATGGTCTAGAAACTTCCTTATGTCCTGGGCGTGTTTGCTGTAATTAGTGGATCTATTCAGTTTGGAATAATGCAGAGAGACAAGGCAACCCACGTGACCTTTGGAGAGTCATCTGACCTTCAAATCACCTTCATATTCCACATGTTAAGGTTCCTGAGTGGTGTGCACGTGTTCTACGCCTTAGCTCTTTTTTGGAGCATCCCCATGTGTGTTATGCTGATGGTGGGGTATTCAATGATTGAATATCAAGGTAAGTTATGGGATATCTGGCTGTTAAGCGTAAAGCGCACGATTTCCTTTGCCTCCCCCCCGAAGTACACGTCCATTATGAACAAGCTTCAACTTCTGCTGAGTTTTACAATTCTCTTGCTCTAGGAGAAACTTGCAATTGAGTAGAAAAGTAGTTTTGGACTGTGCTGTCTTTGATTCTCTTCGCTCCGTACACTCATTATCCTTTGTTTGACAATATGTGCGACTTGGTAAAGCACAAAAAGTAGGAACTCTGCGTTTAGTGCGCCTCAGTCCCAGAGCTCCGCGCGGCGTACTAACATCAATTCTGCAGTTTCACCAGATTGTTTTTTTCGCTCGCGCGACGGCCTTTGCCGAAAAACACGCTGGGACTGCTGGTAGTCTATTTTTCCCACGAACGAGGTCACTTGCATGTCTTTACTTTGTGTTTGTATTTCGCTTCTGGAGCAGGTGAGTTTTATTCTGATAAACGAAGGTGATTCCAGTGGTTTCTGTGTACCAACTCTTAATCAAAAACTGCTATAAAACAGTTTCTATGGGATTGCCTCAAGTTGTTGTAACTTGCACTATCTTGCGTTCATGGCACGAGCGTTTGCGCTTAGCTGTGATTGGTTGCACGTTTTCTCGTCAATTCGACTGTTGGTATTCATTTTTTTTTTAAATGTATGATGGTTTTAATGATCTCCTGCGCTAATTATCAAACCATTGCTTGCTTTAATTCGTTATTGGTTACACTACTTCTACTTTACTCCTGAAATTAAAAACTTGGAAGGAAAATTTGAGACAGTCTTTCTGTCGTGAAAATTTCCTTTAAAGCAAGTGCAGATCTGAGTGGCCATATTCAAACCAAATACGCTTACACCTTTTTCAATATTTTTATCTCGACAGACTTCTCTTGCATACAACTTAAACTCAGGGAAAAGCGACTGACGCTGAGACAGGCCATAGAGGGTTACAACGAAAGAGTGCAGTTTGTAAAGTTATCATCTTCAGCTTGTGTGGTAAGTAAGTTAAGCGATATTTGAGAGTTTGTAGTAATTATGCTACTCTTTCGAGTGGTATACCGTTAAATATCCCACAAGTTACTGGAATTTCTCGTGAAACATGATCCCTTAGATGGGTAAATAAAACAAGAAAATATTAGTGATAAATAAGGCATTCATGACATACCAAAAAAAGGTGCGCAGACTTCACGTTAAATATCTTTGAACTGGCTCACTATTTTATACGACCTTGAAACATTTTCAAAACTATTTTCAAGCGCTTATAAATAATAATTTACGACATAAAACTCAAAGGATGCATCATAGAGTTATGATAGTCGAATGCTCGAAAAGACCAGTTACTGAGCTCCGCTAAAGAAGACCGCAGCACTCGATGGGGAGTGCGAGAAAGTCGAATTTACAACGACCTTCCCGTTATCTAATTAGCTGTATATTCTAAAGAATTTTGTGAAACAGAGCAGGGAGGATCATTGTCTTGAGTTATCTTGAGTTGGTGTCGCTCAAGGGAAACTCTATCGAATCAAGAGTTTTGATCCATTCTCATATTATCTAGTGCTGGTTACTACAACCTTTTACCTTCTCCGTTCATCACCCTTCTGTTGTTAAATTTATTGAAAACACTACTAATTTTCTGATAGAAGTACGACTCCATCTTTTTTTTTCTTTTCTTTTTTTTCAGGTAATACTGTGCATGTTGATTGCGTATACTTTTGTTTCTTTGGCTGTCAACGCATACGTCTTTCTGTTCCGAAACCGAACGCTGTTCCTGTATATCGTCCACGCCCTCCTACCTCTTGTGCTCGCAGCCTACCCACTTAGCACCGCGTCATGGGTCACCAAGCAATATCATTGGTAAGTATATCAAAGATGAGTCGCTCAACTCGAAGAAATGATCGGTTTCTATCTCCTCAATATATTATCGAGCAAACAGTGACGAGGATTGACAAAACAATTTGCTAGATGAAGAAAATCCATGGGGAAGAAATTATTGATTATTTGAGATGAAATTATTCGTAGAAGATAACTTTACGGCCATAATCATATTTTTTATATTTCTTTTTAGGCATCTGGTAGCAGTTGTGAAGGCGTGGGTCGAGTGCAGTGATTCTGACTCTGACTCAGAAGACGAACGGCCTCTGAGCATCACAAACGAGCATGGCACCAGTAGATTACCTTCTAACTACAGTGAATCGCAGGCTCCTACTCTTAGGATTCACATGCCTGATACGGGCCATGTGATCGTGAATTCAGCTTATGACAACATGGACAGACTTCAAAATGTACTTACTGGATCAGCACTATTCCTTGGCAAACTTCAGCACAGAAAAAAAAACCCAAAGTTTAATTTTGAAAAGTATATCTCATATCTTGATAAAGTTTCGAGGAATGTTGGCTTCTCGATCGGTGTGGTCCCGGTGACCTGGGAACTAGTGTCGACTTTGTTTTTCTTCCTCATCTCGCTGATTGCTCTGTTTGTACAGGAATCCATATTTGGAAAAGCGAAGAGCACGATAACGATTTGAAATTATTTGAATTTATCATTTGTGCCAGCAGAACTTTCTAGAAATGATAAAATTTATCTTAATAACAATATTGATGATGACGACGATAACAATGATAATAATAATGAAGGAAAAATGACCAAAAACAAGGAAATAATAAAAATAAATTCATAAATATTTTCTTATTGTTTTAAGAAGGGCTGATGTACAAAACAACTTCCCGGAATGAGGTCGAAAATTTTGTGCATGTCCTAGCTCAGCTAAGGCGGCCTTCTTTTGCAAAAGAGCACTATGAAGTCGACAATAATTGAAAATTTCAGCAAATAAAAAACACCAAAGTTATTTTCCCATTCTTTTAGGAAAAGGAATATTCTAATTCAATGACCCAATAAAAAATCTGATTGTCCTCTCTGCCATTTTTTATAATCTGTATTTGTTCTCTTATTTTGACCACGAGATGTTCTGGTAAGTGAAGTGGCATGTCTCATTATTCCTCGTCGTTAACAAATTGTCCAATCAAAAACGCTTTTTATTGTATCAGTCAACCAATCAGAGGGCGCCTTTTGTTGTGGCTCTTCTTGCACAGTAGATCCATATTCAATGACTTACTCGTTTCCCGCTGCAGCCGCTCTCTTGCCTCGATAATTTTCTGACTGAGGGAATCTTCGAGTTTCAAGTTTTAAAGTAACACGTTCAGTTGAGAGGTAACTTTATTTTCTGCACTTAAAAAGTTAGTTTAAAACTTTGTTTAGCGATTGGCGTTATGTATGACTTCATTTAACGGCGGACTAAAGTTCAAAAGTACCAAAGGCTAACTTTTGTTACGTTTTCAGACCGCCTTTATCGTCTATTTATGACATGATTACCAAATAACAAAGGTCTGTGCTCAATTTAAAGTCTCGGGAGCGACGCAATTACAAGATTTAGACGAAAGAAATTTCGTTTCTAAGGTTTTTTTACCGCAAAAACTAAGACTACATACGAAGTTGGTTTCGGTTTAGTGATGGTCTGATATTCGAGAAGAATTCATCTCTGACGGATCTTTAATGGAATATTTGCGAGCTATTTAATGAAACACTTCATGGTGAAGAATGAAAGTCATGTTTCGAACACCAAAAGTACATCATCTTTTGAAAAAAGATGGAACGTCTTGCTTCCTGATTGCGACATTTATCATACAGAGTATTGCGTGACCCCGACATCCGGTAAAATTGCTCCAAAAACACGCTATTTTGGGTGGAATATTGCTTCTCTTTCTCAAAACGGTGTTTCTTTCTTAAATGTAACACCAGCAACAAGTTGAAAAATATGTTTCCTACTATCGATAACAAACCGGAGAGATTTTGTCGCGATTTAAGCACGGCATTTTCACACTTTCCTACGTGGGTTTGATACAATAAATTTTTAAAAGCGTGACCGGCCGCATCGAGGGAAAACTGAGCTTGTTCGACAGCACACGCTTGGAATAATAATTGTACTGCCAAATTTGAACACAGGAACAAATTTTCCGCATTTTTGATATATAATTCGTAAGGTTTGGCACTGATTACGGCAGGGGAAAATGACTTCGAAATTCTTCCATGTTGTTTTCTTTGTTGTGTTTGCGTGTTGCACGACGGTGACCACAGTAGGTGATCATTTTGGAGGTCAAAATGACGATTCAAACGCAAATTTCAGCCAACCAGAATAGACCTTCGTATACTTACGAGATCAACAAGTAAGTGCTCTTATAAAATATTTATTTTTATTTGTTATCGAGCGTTCAATCGTAAAAATTTCCGAAATACTGAATAATATTGCCCTTTCCTGTGTTTTCTTCTCACAGTTATTTAGTTCACATCAGTTCGAAAGAAAACGAAAATGATATTAAAGGAAACGGGCATTCGAGGATTCGTTGTTAATAGTCGAATTATCACTACAATCAGGAAAAAAGATTGGACGTTAAAAGGAAGATCGATTCTGCCAGAAAGGAGGGAGGTGCGTGCATGAGGAGGCTATGAAGTGACAAAAGACTTAAAATTGAAAAGCTGCAACAAGCCCTTGACAGATCAGAAAAGTCCTGTGGGCATTACAAGAACTTAAGTGTATTATGGCTTGGCTAGCTAATTAGATATGCATAATATTAGAAAATGCAATTTAGCATGGTTCGGTTTAATCAAGACGCCTAAAACCTGCATTACTAGTATAGAAATATCGTCATTAGCAATAAGACATCAGGTCACGTGACCTCTAATAAGCAAATCTAAAATGAGGTCAGTAAAACAAAAAGCAACGTTCCTTTTGCTTATTTTTCAAAGGCTTTCAAGGATTTTTTTTTTGAAGTCTGCCTTTTAAGAATGTATAAGTCATATGCAAATCAGAAAATAAGAAATAAAGAGGTCACGTGACTATGGAATTGGTTAAATCCCTCACAGCAGAAGTAGAATTTTCAACCTTAAAAGGCGGGAGAGTCATTTACGCAGTCTTTG